GTCATTTATATAAATGTTGAAAAGGTTTGGACTCAAACTGCAGCCTTGTCTCACACCTCAACGTTGCGAAAATAATAATGTTCTTTGGTTTTTGATTTTTATTGCAAACTTGTTTTCTGTGTACATTACATTACTACATACATTTTATTTTGTAAGTCGCTCTGGATAAGAGCGTCTGCTAAATGACATCTCGCCTCCTGGGAACCCAGGCCCCATCTCTCCTCCTGGGAACCCAGGCCATATCTCTCCTCCTGGTAACCCAGGCCATATCTCTCCTCCTGGTAACCCAGGCCATATCTCTCCTCCTGGGAACCCAGGCCCCATCTCTCCTCCTGGGAACCCAGGCCATAGCCCAGGCCCCATCTCTCCTCCTGGGAACCCAGGCCATATCTCTCCTACTGGGAACCCAGGCCATATCTCTCCTCCTGGTAACCCAGGCCCCATCTCTCCTCCTGGGAACCCAGGCCATAGCCCAGGCCCCATCTCTCCTCCTGGGAACCCAGGCCATATCTCTCCTCCTGGTAACCCAGGCCATATCTCTCCTCCTGGTAACCCAGGCCCCATCTCTCCTCCTGGGAACCCAGGCCATAGCCCAGGCCCCATATCTCTCCTCCTGGGAACCCAGGCCCCATATCTCTCCTCCTGGGAACCCAGGCCCCATATCTCTCCTCCTGGGAACCCAGGCCCCATATCTCTCCTCCTGGAAACCCAGGCCCCATATCTCTCCTCCTGGGAACCTAGGCCCCATATCTCTCCTCCTGGGAACCTAGGCCCCATATCTCTCCTCCTGGGAACCCAGGCCCCATATCTCTCCTCCTGGGAACCCAGGCCCCATCTCACCTACTGGGAACCCAGGCCATATCTCTCCTCCTTGGAACCCAGGCCATATCTCTCCTCCTGGGAACCCAGGCCATATTGTACCATTCAAAAGTTTGGGATCACTTAGAAATGTCCTTGTTTTCGAAAGAAAAGCAATTTTTTGGTCCATTAAAATAACATCAAATTGATCAGAAATACAGTGTAGACATTGTTAATGTTGTAAATGGCTATTTTAGCTGGAAACGGCTGATTTTAAATGGAATATCTACATAGGCGTACAGAGGCCCATAATCAGCAACCATCAGTCCTGTGTTCCAATGGTACGTTGTGTTTTCTAATCCAAGTTTATCATTTTAAAAGTCTAATTGATCATTAGAAAACCCTTTTGCAATTATGTTAGCACAGCTGAAAACTGTTGTGCTGATTAAAGAAGCAATAAAACGGGCCTTCTTGAGACTAGTTGAGTATCTGGAGCATCAGCAAATGTGGGTTCGATTACAGGCTCAAAATGGCCAGAAACAAAGAACTTTCTTCCGAAACTCGTCAGTCTATTCTTGTTCTGAGAAATGAAGGCTATTCCATGCGAGTAATTGCCAAGAAACGGAAGATCTCGTACAACACTGTGTACTACTCCCTTCACAGAACAGCGCAAACTGGCTCTAACCAGAAAGAGGAACCCAGGCCATATCTCTCCTCCTGGGAACCCAGGCCATATCTCTCCTCCTGGTAACCCAGGCCATATCTCTCCTCCTGGGAACCCAGGCCATATCTCTCCTCCTGGGAACCAAGGCCATATTGTGTGCCTCAGATTTAGTGTCTGTTTCCCCTCTGAGTCCCCCATCCCCCTTTCTCTCCAGCGCGCGTGATCAATTAGCCTTTTAAAATGATAAACTTGGATTAGCAAACACAACGTGCCATTGGAACACAGGACTGATGGTTGCTGATAATGGGCCTCTATACGCCTATGTATATATTCCATAAAAAATCAGCCGTTTCCAGCTACAACAGCCATTTACAACATTAACAATGTCTATACTGTATTTCTGATCAATTTGATGTTATTTTAATGGACCAAGAAATTGCTTTTCTTTCGAAAACAAGCACATTTCTAAGTGACCCCAAACTTTTGAACGGTAGTGTACATACATACATATATATATATATATATATATATATATATATATATATATATATATATATATATATACACACATACACATCATTACATACAGTGGGGAGAACAAGTATTTGATACACTGCCGATTTTGCAGGTTTTCCTACTTACAAAGCATGTAGAGGTCTGTAATTTTTTATCATAGGTACACTTCAACTGTGAGAGACGGAATCTAAAACAAAAATCCAGAAAATCACATTGTATGATTTTTAAGTAATTCATTTGCATTTTATTGCATGACATAAGTATTTGATACATCAGAAAAGCAGAACTTAATATTTGGTACAGAAACCTTTGTTTGCAATTACAGAGATCATACGTTTCCTGTAGGTCTTGACCAGGTTTGCGCACACTACAGCAGGGATTTTGGCCCACTCCTCCATACAGACCTTCTCCAGATCCTTTAGGTTTCGGGGCTGTCGCTGGGCAATACAGACTTTCAGCTCCCTCCAAAGATGTTCTATTGGGTTCAGGTCTGGAGACTGGCTAGGCCACTCCAGGACCTTGAGATGCTTATTACAGAGCCTCTCCTTAGTTGCCCTGGCTGTGTGTTTCGGGTCGTTGTCATGCTGGAAGACCCAGACACGACCCATCTTCAATGCTCTTACTGAGGGAAGGAGGTTGTTGGCCAAGATCTCGCGATACATGGCCCCATCCATCCTCCCCTCAATACGGTGCAGTCGTCCTGTCCCCTTTGCAGAAAAGCATCCCCAAAGAATGATGTTTCCACCTCCATGCTTCACGGTTGGGATGGTGTTCTTGGGGTTGTACTCATCCATCTTCTTCCTCCAAACACGGGGAGTGGAGTTTAGACCAAAAAGCTCTATTTTTGTCTCATCAGACCACATGACCTTCTCCCATTCCTCCTCTGGATCATCCAGATGGTCATTGGCAAACTTCAGACGGGCCTGGACATGCGCTGGCTTGAGCAGGGGGACCTTGCGTGCGCTGCAGGATTTTAATCCATGACGGCGTAGTGTGTTACTAATGGTTTTCTTTGAGACTGTGGTCCCAGCTCTCTTCAGGTCATTGACCAGGTCCTGCCGTGTAGTTCTGGGCTGATCCCTCACCTTCCTCATGATCATTGATGCCCCACGAGGTGAGATCTTGCATGGCGCCCCAGACCGAGGGTGATTGACCGTCATCTTGAACTTCTTCCATTTTCTAATAATTGCGCCAAAAGTTGTTGCCTTCTCACCAAGCTGCTTGCCTATTGTCCTGTAGCCCATCCCAGCCTTGTGCAGGTCTACAATTTTATCCCTGATGTCCTTACACAGCTCTCTGGTCTTGGCCATTGTGGAGAGGTTGGAGTCTGTTTGATTGAGTGTGTGGACAGGTGTCTTTTATACAGGTAACGAGTTCAAACAGGTGCAGTTAATACAGGTAATGAGTGGAGAACAGGAGGGCTTCTTAAAGAAAAACTAACAGGTCTGTGAGAGCCGGAATTCTTACTGGTTGGTAGGTGATCAAATACTTATGTCATGCAATAAAATGTAAATTAATTACTTAAAAATCATACAATGTGATTTTCTGGATTTTTGTTTTAGATTCCGTCTCTCACAGTTGAAGTGTACCTATGATAAAAATTACAGACCTCTACATGCTTTGTAAGTAGGAAAACCTGCAAATTCGGCAGTGTATCAAATACTTGTTCTCCCCACTGTATATAATTATTATTATAATACCAGTGCCAATAAAATGAAGAATAGATGTAAACAAATCAATAAGAATGGAATAAGATCGCACTGAAAATAAGTAAATTGCAATGCAATCTGCAACCCCTTGTACGTATGTGTTTCTTGTGCGTATGTTTGTGTGTGTAAATTAAAGGGTCTGTCTATCCCAGTAGTCTGCATATTAGATGCAGTAGTTGGCGCACCTCTCCAATCTCTGATAGTTCTAGGTGTGTTTTGCCAGACTTTACCTCAGCATATGTATGGTCCTCTGTAGCTCAGCTGTGGTCCTCTGTAGCTCAGCTGGTAGAGCACGGCGCTTGTAACGCCAAGGTAGTGGGTTCGATCCCCGGGACCACCCATACACAAAAATGAATGCACGCATGACTGTAAGTTGCTTTGGATAAAAGCGTCTGCTAAATGGCTTATTATTATTATTATTATTATTATTATTATTATTATTATTATTATTATTATTATTATTATATGTAGGCTGATGATCTGAATGATACATGTTGTGGACTGCATCATGTGGTGCACTTCTCTGAAGGACAGTGTTCTGCCCGACCCTAGAGTAGTGGTCAGTGCTGTTGTGATGGGCCGGGTCTAGTAGAGCTGTGTTGTGATGGGCCGGGTCTAGTAGTGCTGTGTTGTGATGGGCCGGGACTAGTAGAGCTGTGTTGTGATGGGCCGGATCTAGTAGAGCTGTGTTGTGATGGGCCGGATCTAGTAGAGCTGTGTTGTTATGAGCCGCGTCTGGTCGTGCTGTCCTGAGGCGGGTCTGGTCTGGTAAATCTGTGCTGTGTTGGGCCCAGTCTTGTAGAGCTGTGCTGTAATAAGCCGTGTCTGGCTCTTCTCTCCTGGGGATGGTGGGGGTACTGTTGTTTCAGAAGGTGGAGCGGGGGGCCTGCTGCTGGGGTGATGGGTGTGTGGGTCCCTGCCAAGTGTTGTATCCTTAAGGTCCTTAGCAAAAGTTCTGACACTGTCCTGATCAAGATGTACATTATCGTATAAGTGTTCACATGCCAGAGTGGGATGGTGAGCCATTCTAACGTTGAGCAGTGAGGCACAGTCCACAGTGATCTGTTGATTTATTTTGTCGATCAACTGTCCTGGGAAGTCTTTTCTTGGTAGGAGGGTGGACACAACTATATTGGTTGTTGGAAACATAGCCTGTGCCCGTTCTGCCACTCTTCTCACTGCCCCAGATACATTTTCACCTTTGGCACGAATGTCGTTTGTGCCAGTGTGGATGATGATGTTGTCAGGGGTGTCAATCCTGGTCTGACTGAGGAGCTGCATTGCACTCTCAGTTGTAGGACACCAGAACTTATACACCTGGTGTCTAGGGAATAATTTTTCCTGGACCAAGAACTTCCCATTTGAATCTATAATGATTGCAGTTGTGGGTGATTGTCTGGGTGGAGCAGACTGGGAGGCTGGAGCAGACTGGGAGGCTGGTATTCTGACCTGGGCTGGAGCAGACTGGGAGGCTGGTATTCTGACCTGGGCTGGAGCAGACTGGGAGGCTGGTATTCTGACCTGGGCTGGAGCAGACTGGGAGGCTGGTAGGTTGACTTGGGCTGGAGCAGACTGGTAGGCTGGTAGGTTGACCTGGGCTGGAGCAGACTGGTAGGCTGGTAGGTTGACCTGGGCTGGAGCAGACTGGGAGGCTGGTATTCTGACCTGGGCTGGAGCAGACTGGGAGGCTGGAGCAGACTGGTAGGCTGGTAGGTTGACCTGGGCTGGAGCAGACTGGTAGGCTGGTAGGTTGACCTGGGCTGGAGCAGACTGGGAGGCTGGTATTCTGACCTGGGCTGGAGCAGACTGGGAGGCTGGAGCAGACTGGTAGGCTGGTAGGTTGACCTGGGCTGGAGCAGACTGGTAGGCTGGTAGGTTGACCTGGGCTGGAGCAGACTGGGAGGCTGGTATTCTGACCTGGGCTGGAGCAGACTGGTAGGCTGGTAGGTTGACTTGGGCTGGAGCAGACTGGGAGGCTGGTAGGTTGACTTGGGCTGGAGCACACTGTGCTGAAGAAGACTGGGAGGCTGGTAGGCTGGTTGGCTGACCTGGGCTGGAGCAGACTGGGAGGCTGGTGCAGTGTCATCAGGCTGTGTGGTGGAGGCCATGCTGGTTATGCTAGTCTCAGGTTCTGCCTGTGTTGTACCAAGCTGGTGGACATGTTCTCTAGATGCAGAGGACATAATGACTAGCTGCTGGTTGAGGGTGTCAATGTACCTCTCTCTCTGCTCTAGCTCCTCTCTTGTTATGCTCAGATGGTATCGGAGGTCATCATTTGTCTGACTCAGTTTGTCCATTCTGCTTTCTAATTTAGCAATAGATGCTCTGCTCTCCTCCCTGAACTGTTTAATCTCTTCTTTTAGTTTCTGGACAGTGTCATCCTCTTGAAGCTTGTTCTCTCTGAGTTCTATGACCTCTGCTTCAACTAGAGAGAGGGTGTTGTGGAAACGTTGCATAGCAGGTGTTCTTGGTGTTGTACAGCATGTCCTTGGCTCTGTCTGCTGCAGGTGAGGTAAGAAGAGGGACACTGAGGGCTTCTTGCTGGGTCACAGAGGCTGTTGGGGGTGTTGGGGCCTGCTTTTCTCCATCATCTCCCTCCTTTACTTTTTCCTCAGCTTCTGAGATGAGTTCAGCTTCTACTTTTATGGTAGCAAACACATTCTCAAAAGCCTGGAGGCTTGAATCATTGCCTTGTATCAATACAGTTCCATTATTGTATAAGTTGACTGTTTGATATGTGTTGCTCTGGTCAGCTTCTTCAAAAATGCTGATCTGACAGCCTTGACTGATGCTTCTCTTTTGGTATTACATTTTACATTTGCTCTTGTTTTGCAACTGGTAAGATCTGCAAACAGGCATTCATGGTTCTGTCCCATCATCTAACCTTTGAAACTTTTCTTAGTTTTCTCAATTTGGATGTCTGGTGGGTAAATAATTTCCATAGCAAAGCTGGTGATGTTGGCTACAATGTTGCAATAGAAGCCTACCTTTTCTTGTATTATTGTCTCTAGTGTCTTTAGAGAACTGTTTTACTTTCATGTCCTTTGTCTTCTGTCCTTCTTTTGTCTTTCTATTGTGCTGTTGACTAGCTATATTTTTGTTAGCTAGCTAGCTAGCTCCTTTTAGGAGAGTCCCTAGCAACTGCTTAGCAACTGGTAAACAATCCAGCTGGCTAAGATAACTGCATCATTTTATAAAAAAATATATACTTTTTCACAAGCATATCTTCTTCATTTGTTGCTTGTTTTGTCTTCCATTCAGTCTTCCAGTTTTCTTTTAGTTTTTTCCAATGTACTTCACTCTAAAAACCATGTAAATTTCAATATTTGTAGGAGCTAATCGTTTTCAGCAGCTGCTGCTAAATTTGGAACTCTGGAACTTTGGAACTCTCTCTTTCTCTCTTTCTACTTGTTATGAAAGGTTTGGGAATCGCTTCCTTTTAGGTGGTTGTAGGCTCTTTTCTGGATTTTGATAATTAGCAGTTATCTGCCTAATTCTGCTCTGCATGCATAATTTGGTGTTTTACGTTGTAGACAGAGGATATTTTAGCAGAATTCTGCATGCAGAGTCTCAATTTGGTGTTTGTCCCATTGCCCATAAAGGGCAATGGGTTCTATAACTGATTCAAGTATTTTTAGCCAGATCCTAATTGGTATGTCGAATATTATGTTCCTTTTGATGGCATCGAAGGCCCTTCTTGCCTTATCTCAGATCGTTCACATCTTTGTGGAAGTTACCTGTGGCGCTGATGTTTAGGCCTAGGTATGTATAGTTTTTTGTGTGCTCTAGGGCAACGGTGTCTAGATGGAATTTGTATTTGTGGTCCTGGCAACTGGACCTTTTTTGGAACACCAATATTTTTGTTTTACTGAGATTTACTGTCAGGGCCCAGGTCTGACAGAATCTGTGCAGAAGATCTAGGTGCTGCTGTAGGCCCTCCTTGGTTGGGGACAGAAGCACCAGATCATCCGCAAACAGTAGATATTTGACTTCAGATTCTAGTAGGGTGAGGCCGGATGCTGCAGACTGTTCTAGTGCCCTCGCCAATTCGTTGAAAAATATGTTGAAGAGGGTTGGGCTCAAGCTACATCCCTGTGTCACACCACGGCCCTGTGGAAATAAAATTGTGTGTTTTTTGCCCATTTTAACCGCACACTGTCGTATGTTTTTCCCCCAACACCGGTTTCCATCAATTTGTATAGCAGACCCTCATGCCAAATTGAGTCAAAAGCTTTTTGGAAATCAACAAAGCATGAAAAGACTTTGCCTTTGTTTTGTTTTGTTTGTCAATTAAGGTGTGCAGGGTGAATACGTGGTCTGTCGTACGGTAATTTGGTAAAAAGCCAATTTGACCATTTGCTCAGTACATTGTTTTCACTGAGGAAATGTACAAGTCTGCTGTTAATGATAATGCAGAGGATTTTCCCAAGGTTGCTGTTGACGCATATTCCACAGTAGTTATTGGGGTCAAATTTGTCTCCACTTTTGTGGATTGGGGTGATCAGTCCTTGGTTCCAAATATTGGGGAAGATGCCATAGCTGAGGATGATGTTACAAAGTTTAAGTATAGCCAATTGGAATTTGTGGTCTGTATATTTTATAATTTATTTTAGGATACCATCACCAACACTACAGGCCTTTTTGGGTTGGAGGGTTTGTATTTTGTCCTGTAGTTCATTAAATGTAATTGGAGAATCCGGTGGGTTCTGGTAGTCATTAATAGTTGATTTTAAGATTTGTATTTGATCATGTATATGTTTTTGCTGTTTGTTCTTTGTTATAGGGCCAAAAAGATTGGATTAGTGGTTTACCCATACACCTCCGTTTTGGATAGATAGCTCTTCATGTTGTTGTTTGTTTAGTGTGTTGCTCTCTCCTCTCTCTCTCTCTCTCTCTCTCTCTCTCTCTCTCTCAATTCAAGGGCTTTATTGGCATGGGAAACATAGGTTAACATTGCCAAAGCAAGTGAAGTAGATAGTAAACAACAGTGAAATAAACAATAAATATTAACGGTAAACATTGCACTCACAAAAGTTCCAAAAGAATAAAGAAATGTCAAATGTAATATTATGTCTATATACATTGTTATAATGATGTTCAAATAGTTAAAGTACGAATGGGAAAATAAATAAACATAAATATGGGTTGGATTTACAATGGTGTTTGTTCTTCACTGGTTGCCCTTTTCATGTGGCAACAGGTCACAAATCTTGCTGCTGTGATGGCACACTTTGGTTTTTCACCCAGTAGATAAGGGAGTTTATCAAAATTGGGTTTGTTTTCGAATTCTTTGTGGATCTCTGTAATCTGAGGGAAATCAGTCTCTAATATGTGGTCCTCTGTAGCTCAGCTGGTAGAGCACGGCGCTTGTAACGCTAAGGTAGTGGGTTCGATCCCCGGGACCACCCATACACAAAAAAAAAAATATGCACGCATGACTGTAAGTCGCTTTGGATAAAAGCGTCTGCTAAATGGCATATTATTATTATTATTATTATTATTAATATGGTCATACATTTGGCAGGAGGTTAGGAAGTGCAGCTTCCACCTCATTTTGTGGGCAGTGTGCACCTAGCCTGTCTTCTCTTGAGAGCCAGGTCTGCCTACGGCAGCCTTTCTCAATAGCAAGGCTATGCTCACTGAGTCTGTACATAGTCAAAGCTTTCCTTAAGTTTGGGTCAGTCACAGTGGTCAGGTATTCTGCCACTGTGTACTCTCTGTTTAGGGCCAAATAGCATTCCAGTTTGCGCTGTTTTTTTGTTAATTCTTTCCAATGTGTCAAGTAATTATCTTTTTGTTTTCTCTTGATTTGGTTGGATCTAATTGTGTTGCTGTCCTGGGGCTCTGTTTGTGTTTGTGAACAGAGGACCAGCTTGCTTAGGGGACTCTTCTCCAGTTTCATCTCTCTGTAGGTGATGGCTTTGTTATGGAAAGTTTGGGAATCGCTTCCTTTTAGATGGTTGTAGAATTTAACAGCTCTTTTTGATAATTTGATAATTTGGATAATTAGCGGGTATTGGCCTAATTCTGCTCTGCATGCATTATTTGGTGTTTTACGTTGTACACTGAGGATGTTTTTGCAAAATTCTGCATGCAGTCTCAATTTGGTGTTTGTCCCATTTTGTGAATTGTTGGTTAGTGAGCGGACCCCAGACAATGGGTTCTATAACTGATTCAAGTATTTTTAGCCAGATCCTAATTGGTACAGTGCGGAAAAAAAGTATTTAGTCAGCCACCAATTGTGCAAGTTCTCCCACTTAAAAAGATGAGAGAGGCCTGTCATTTTCATCATAGGTACACGTCAACTATGACAGACAAATTGAGGAAAAAAAATCCAGAAAATCACATTGTAGGATTTTTAATGAATTTATTTGCAAATTATGGTGGAAAATAAGTATTTGGTCACCTACAAACAAGCAAGATTTCTGGCTCTCACAGACCTGTAACTTCTTCTTTAAGAGGCTCCTCTGTCCTCCACTCGTTACCTGTATTAATGGCACCTGTTTGAACTTGTTATCAGTATAAAAGACACCTGTCCACAACCTCAAACAGTCACACTCCAAACTCCACTATGGCCAAGACCAAAGAGCTGTCAAAGGACACCAGAAACAAAATTGTAGACCTGCACCAGGCTGGGAAGACTGAATCTGCAATAGGTAAGCAGCTTGGTTTGAAGAAATCAACTGTGGGAGCAATTATTAGGAAATGGAAGACATACAAGACCACTGATAATCTCCCTCGATCTGGGACTCCACGCAAGATCTCACCCCGTGGGGTCAAAATGATCACAAGAACTGTGAGCAAAAATCCCAGAACCACACGGGGGACCTAGTGAATGACCTGCAGAGAGCTGGGACCAAAGTAACAAAGCCTACCATCAGTAACACACTACGCCGCCAGGGACTCAAATCCTGCAGTGCCAGACATGTCCCCCTGCTTAAGCCAGTACATGTCCAGGCCCGTCTGAGGTTTGCTAGAGTGCATTTGGATGATCCAGAAGAGGATTGGGAGAATGTCATATGGTCAGATGAAACCAAAATAGAACTTTTTGGTAAAAACTCAACTCGTCGTGTTTGGAGGACAAAGAATGCTGAGTTGCATCCAAAGAACACCATACCTACTGTGAAGCATGGGGGTGGAAACATCATGCTTTGGGGCTGTTTTTCTGCAAAGGGACCAGGACGACTGATCCGTGTAAAGGAAAGAATGAATGGGGCCATGTATCGTGAGATTTTGAGTGAAAACCTCCTTCCATCAGCAAGGGCATTGAAGATGAAACGTGGCTGGGTCTTTCAGCATGACAATGATCCCAAACACACCGCCCGGGCAACGAAGGAGTGGCTTTGTAAGAAGCATTTTAAGGTCCTGGAGTGGCCTAGCCAGTCTCCAGATCTCAACCCCATAGAAAATCTTTGGAGGGAGTTGAAAGTCTGTGTTGCCCAGCGACAGCCCCAAAACATCACTGCTCTAGAGGAGATCTGCATGGAGGAATGGGCCAAAATACCAGCAACAGTGTGTGAAAACCTTGTGAAGACTTACAGAAAACGTTTGACCTGTGTCATTGCCAACAAAGGGTATATAACAAAGTATTGAGAAACTTTTGTTATTGACCAAATACTTATTTTCCACCATAATTTGCAAATACATTTATTAAAAATCCTACAATGTGATTTTCTGGAGTTGATGTGTACCTATGATGAAAATTACAGGCCTCTCTCATCTTTTTAAGTGGGAGAACTTGCACAATTGGTGGCTGACTAAATACTTTTTTTCCCCACTGTATGTCGAATTTTATGTTCCTTTTGATGGCATAGAATGCCCTTCTTGCCTTGTTTCTCAGATGGTTCACAGCTTTGTGGAAGTTACCTGTGGCGCTGATGTTTAGGCCGAGGTATTGTTTTTTGTGTGCTCTAGGGCAACAGTGTCTAGATGGAATTTGTATTTGTGGTCCTGGCATCTGGACCTTTTCTCTCTTTCTCTCTCTCTCACTGTCTCTCTCTCTCTCTCTCACTGTATCTGTATTCACATCTAGTCACTCACCTTTCTAATTCTGTGTCCCCCCAACCCAAGTGGCCATAACCCTCAAGTCCTAACCCACCTCACCCCCTCTCTCACACAGTATACCCCACCTTGTCTAAACTCCTAACCTGTGTTGTTTGACGCAACCATACCCAACATAAGTTTGACTGAGTGATCCCTCCTCCAGCCCCACACCCTTAAACACATCCCTATACTGTTTGTCTGGATAAATAAAATGCTCTTTCTCCCTCCGATGTAGATACCCAATACCCCCAAATATATGAATGGTATATTCCAACTCCTCCCACTTGTAATTGACTTCCCCTGTGTGTGTGTTTGGTGTGTTCTAACCCTGTCTCCCCCCATGTAGAGGGTCAGTTGGACCATGCCGCTCTGCTGCAGGTTATAAAGGAGCAGCAGGAGCAGCAGAAGAGGCTGTTGGACCAGCAGGAGAAACTACTGGCTGTCATACAGGAACAGCACCAGGAGATGCACCCCAAAAAGCCAGGTACACTCTCATACATGTTCTGTCTTTATATTGTGATGTGTATCTAAGTGCTGAGTAATTGAACTGTTTGGTCATTGAAAGGGGAAGTAAAGAACGATGTGTTAAGACAGATGGAGCTCCAGAGGCCGATGCAGAGACGGGGGTCCAGGAGGAAGGGGGAGCATCAAAGCCCAAAGACCCAGCTCAAGGTGGTCCTGCCCTGGCCTCAGACACCAAGGATCCTGGGGAGCCTGCTGGAGCGCCACAGGCCGGACGGGCCGAGCCTCACATCCAGGCCCAGAATGAGGTCCTCCTTGTGGAGAAGAGTGCAGAGGAGCAGTTCTTCAAAGTGGTTCCCCCTGTTATCCCCAAAGAAGAAGTACTCCAGGAGGTCCCTAAACTGCCGGTGTTGGCTGAGGCAGCAGTGGAGGCCCCTAAGGAGAGGGAGCTGGGGGCTAAGGTAGTACCGCTGGGTCAGAAGGTGACAGAGGGGGTGAAGGTAGAACCAGCCCAGCCCAAACACAAAAAGGAGCAGCCGCCACCTGCTAAAGCTGAGGACGGGGCAGTGGTAGTGGACAAGGAGAAAGAGAGGATAGAGAAAGCGAGACTGGAGAAGGTGAGGATTGATAGAGAGGTGCAGGGGAGAGTGGAGAAGGAACGGTTGGAGAGGGAGAGGAGAGAAAAACTGTCGAGAGAGGAGGAGATGGAACAAGCAAGAGTAGAGAAAGAGAGAATGGAGAAAGAGAGGCTGGAAAAGGAGCAAGCGGAGAGGAAGAGAGCAGAGAAGGAGAGGAAGGTCGAAGAGCAGAGGGAGAAATTGGCACAGCTGGAGAGAGCCATCAAGGCCCTTGAGGAACAGGCTCTGGCTGCAGCTGGGCCAGGACCTGTCGAACCAGGAGTAGGAGCACTAGGGGCTGTGAAGAAGAGTGGACGGGACCTGAAGGAGAGGGCAGCCGTCCAGTCAGACTCCAGGGACGTTGTGGAAGAGAAGGCCCACAAAGCCCAGGTCCAGGAGAAGGCCAGGGACCAGGAAGACATGGACCTGAGAAGGAGAAGGAGAGCCATGGGGGTAGGAGGTGTTGGGGAGGCTGGGGGTTCCAGGAGGGGTGTGCCGGGTCTGGAGCCCTTCTTGGACATGGGGGGGTGGGATCTCCATGCAGTGGTACACACACGCCAGATTAAACAGACCTCTGAGCTTGAGAGAGATGAGTAACTGGGACAGGGTAACTGTATACACGCACATGAATACGGTATAACATACACTCACATACATTGGGTCGTACTGCGCACCCCCTATACACACACACTCATGTACAGTGGGTCGTTATACACACGTTCATATTTTCACAACACACTCTTTCACTCCCACACACAGTCATGTACCATGGATCACACTCTGCCTTACCACCTGTCTTCACAATACCTGACCAGAACAGGAGTGTGTGAGGTGCAGTGATGTGATGGGGAACATTCTGGCTGCGTTTACACAGGCGACCCAATTCTGATGTTTTTCCCAATTATTGGCAAAAGATCTGATTGGTCAAAAGACTAATTATTGGCTGAAGATAGATCAGAATTGGGCTGCCTGTGTAAACAGCCACTGTGTCTTCATTTGACCCTAGTCTGTGTTCTTCTACCAAATACGAATGCTTTCTTTAGCGTGCTCCTTCCATGATTCCAGAAGAAATTGCAGATAGATATAGTGATAATAAAGATATTGTAGCAATGATCGAATATATTGTAGACTATTCTATAATAATATGCTGTATTATGCTGCCATAAATCTAAAGCCTTTATTGAAAATATATTTGTATGTAAATATTAACCTATTTTTGTTTTTTATTAAGGCGCTCAGTGCTAGACTGGAATGTATGTTAAGCTATGCAATACCACATGCCCAGTTTCCTTTTTTCCTGTGTGTTTGAGAGAGCAATGCACCATCTATCCTTCTATCCAATGACTGCATTTGAGTCACTTTAAATCCCTTGATACTTCTAGGTGATGTGAAGTTTTTGTTTTTGGCTCTGTAGAGATGACCTGTGGTTGTTTTTGGCTCTGTAGAGATGACCTGTGGTTGTTTTTGGCTCTGTAGAGATGACCTGTGGTTGTTTTTGGCTCTGTAGAGATGACCTGTGGTTGTTTTTGGCTCTGTAGAGATGACCTGTGGTTGTTTTTGGCTCTGTAGAGATGACCTGTGGTTGTTTTTGGCTCTGTAGAGATGACCTGTGGTTGTTTTTGGCTCTGTAGAGATGACCTGTGGTTGTTTTTGGCTCTGTAGAGATGACCTGTGGTTGTTTTTGGCTCTGTATAGATGACCTGTGGTTGTTTTTGGCTCTGTAGAGATGACCTGTGATTGTTTTTGGCTCTGTAGTGCTTTTGTTAAGCCCTTTAAAATGTATGTTAGTTATTATGAGTTGTAAATAGCGTATATAATATAATATGCCATTTAGCAGACGCTTTTATCCAAAGCGACTTACAGTCATGCGTGCATACATTTTTTTTTGTGTATGGGTGGTCCCGGGGATCGAACCCACTACCTTGGCGTTACAAGCGCCGTGCTCTACCAGCTGAGCTACAGAGGACCACGTGTATAGATTATCATGCTGTTTATTTACATCATATTTTTGGAAGACATTCATAGTACATTTAAGGATCAATCGGTTAGCTTCCTTGCTTAAATTTTCCTCTCGATTTTAAACCAGACTTCTATTTTGATGAATAAAAACTGATGCTGTAGTGTAGCCTTATCATACACTGAGTGGACAGAACATTAAGAACACCTTCCTAAAATTGACTTGCAACAACCCCCCTTTTGCCCCTCAGAACAGCCTCAATTTGTCGGGGTATGAACTCTACAAGGTGTCGAAAGCGTTCCACAGGGATGCTGGCCGATGTTGACTCCAATGCTTCCCACAGTTGTGTCAAGTTGGCTGGATTTACTTTGGGTGGTGGACCATTCTTGATACACACGGGAAACTGTTGAGTGTGAAAAACCCTGCAGCTTTGCAGTTCTTGACACACTCAAACCAGTGTGCCTGGCACCTACTACTATACCCCATTCAAAGGCACTTTTGTCTTTTGTCTTGCCCATTCACCCTCTGAATGGCACACATACACAATCCATGTCTCAATTGCCTCAAGGCTTAAAAATCCTTCTTTAACCTGTCTCTCTCATCTACACTGATTTGAAGTGGATTTAACAAGTGACATCAATAAGGGATCATATCTTTCACCTGGTCAGTCTGTCATGGAAAGAGCAGGTGTCCATAATGTTTTGTACACTGTACCCTACAATTCCCAAACGTTTTACCCCCAAAGGAGTGCCGAATCCATCTCTGAGACTATATTCCATGTTCTGGTTTTACTCTTCACCAGTGCCTTTCATACATGTGCTGCAGTAGTGATGTTTTCCATGACTTAAAGTAATGTGGTTATTTTGTTTAGTCATACCCTGTGTGTGTGGCTGACACAGTTGTGCCTCTATGTTAACTTGCAGTTAAATGAATGGGTCAAAGTGAATAACTGTATTGAGATGTAAATGTACGTTTCCTTAACTCTGAGTGAATTTTTCCTATAAAGTGGCTTATCTAGCAGTGACAGAGAATGGAAGCAAAATACTGGAATACTTGTAGAGGTGTAGTTTATTTATGCGATTAGTTGTAATCTCTCGCTCTCTGTTCTTGTAGCATTTGAAACAGTGGCTTGGACTTCTACAATGGTGCCCTGTGCAGTGGCTACTATAAGGACAGTGAATTAAATGGACTCCACAGAGGGAGGACATCAATAGTGGCTTCATAACTGCTCATGACTTCTTTAGAATAAGAGTTCATTTTTCTGTAACGCTTTCTCAACTCATTGTATTTTTTAAAAATGTGTCAATAAAATATGAAGTTTTAGTTGTCAACTGCTTGTTGAAATGTGTGTTGTGTACATTAACCAAAGAGACCCCATACACACATTTATTTACATAGCAGACGCATTTATCCAAATTGACTTAGTCATGCATGCTGTGTATACATTTTACGTATCAGTGACCCCGGGAATCAAACCCACTATCCTGCCGTTGCAAGCGCCACCCTCTAGCAACTGAGCCATAAAGGACATTACATTATAATCTGGTCCATTGCCTGGTTATGTTGGGCAGAATGGACACTACTTCACTCCCTCCTTAGCCTGCAAAACAATTAGATGATAAAGTAAAATGATACAACAAAAACAGACAATTTGATCAAATGTACAATGAAACCCCTGTAATATGTCACTCACTGCTGTAACGAAGCACGTCTTCAGAGCATCAAACTCTCTGACACACAGGTCCTTTTTCAGCTCCTGTCTGCTTGTGGTAGTAGCTGTTACATTTTACATTTTAGTCATTTAGCAGATGCTCTTATCCAGAGCGACTTACAGTTAGTGAGTGCATCATTTTCATATTGTTACACACTTCCCATAAACTGCAGCCTGGGGAGAACAAGATATTCAGAGGATGACTGCACTGGTTAGAATAGATACAGTGGGGGAAAAAAGTATTTAGTCAGCCACCAATTGTGGAAATTCTCCCACTTAAAAAGATGAGAGAGGCCTGTAATTTTCATCATAGGGTACACGTCAACTATGACAGACAAATTGAGGAAAAAAAATCCAGAAAATCACATTGTAGGATTTTTAATGAATTTATTTGCAAATTATGAAATGACTTGCACAATTGGTGGCTGACTAAATACTTTTTTTCCCCACTGTACATCTATGGTCCAAGTCATTTCTAGTCCACACTCAGTTTCCACTTGATTAATCCCTAAGAGTCCCCATAGCAACATCGGGGGCCACTGACACCATGCATATCAATTGAAGCCAAATTCCTTGGCAGGCCGCCCCAGTTATACAACGGTAGGGGACACACTGGGCCAAGTTGTCCCACTGACATACAGTACATCACCAAATTTCTGCCCTGCTAGAGCTTCCCCGGTCAATCGTAAGTGCTGTTATTGTGAAGTGGAAACTTCTAGGAGCAACAACGGCTCAGCCGCGAAGTGGTAGACCACACAAGCTCACAGAACGGGACCGCTGAAGCGCATAGCGCTTAAAAATCGTCTGTCCTCGGTTGCAACATTCACTACCAAGTTCCAAACTGCCTCTGGAAGCATCGTCAGCACAAGAACTGTTCGTCGGGAGCTTCATGAAATGGGTTTCCATAGCCGAGCAGCCACACACAAGCCTAAGATCACCATGCGCAATGCCAAGCGTTGGCTGGAGTGGTGTAAAGCTCGCCGCAATTGGACTCTGGAGCAGTGGAAACGCGTTCTCTGTAGTGATGAATCACGCTTCACCATCTGGCAGTCCGACGGATGAATCTGGGTTTGCCGGCCGCGACCGGGAGACCCATGGGGCGGCGCACAATTGGCCCAGCGTCGTACAGGTTAGGGGAGGGTTTGGCCTGCAGGTATGTTCTTGTCCCATCGCGCACTAGCGACTCCTGTTGCGGGCCGGGCGCAGTGCACACTGACACGGTCGCCAGGTGTATGGTGTTTCCTCCAACACATTGGTGTGGCTGGCTTCCGGGTTAAGTGGGCATTGTGTCAAGAAGCAGTGCGGCTCGGTTGGGTTGTGTTTCAGAGTACACACGGCTCTCGACCTTCGCCTCCCGTGTACGTAAAGAACTGTAAAGTTGGCACTATGGAGGAATAATGGTCTGGGGCTGTTTTTCATGGTTCGGGCTAGGACCCTTAGTTCCAGTGAATGGAAATCTTAACACTACAGCATACACTACTACACTACAGCTCGCAGTCAGCATTCCAATTCATCCCAAAGGTGTTCGATAGGGTTGAGGTCAGGGCTCTGTGCAGGCCAGTCAAGTTCTTCCACACTGATCTCGACAAACCATTTCTGTATGGACCTCGATTGTCTTGCTGAAACAGGAATGGTCCTTCCCCAAACTGTTGCCACAAAGTTGGAAGAACAGCTTAGTCTAGAATGTCATTGTACAGGCCTAATCACCCAACATCAGTGCCCGACATCACTAATGCTCGTGGCTGACTGGAAGCAAGTCCCGCAGCATTGTGTCAACATCTAGTGGAAATCCTTCCCAGAAGAGCGGAGGCTGTTATAGCAGCAAAGGGGGGGACCAACTCCATATTAATGTCCATGATCGAGACGTTCGACGTGTCCACATACTTTTGGTCATGTAGTGTATGATGACCACTGACTGAGGTATAGATGCTTTTGGATCATGTATGGCTACAGTGCCCATATTTGTTAGGGAGCTAGCATGTAGCTACATACGCACCTCACCAGTACACTGGGCAAACATCTCTTGGAACCGTCTCATCCTCTCCCGACTGCGAGTCCACACGTTTGTCCCCGACATGATCAGCTGAGTGAGTAGCAGCAGAGGTGGACAGTTGATCAATATTCTTTGACAGTGGAAAAAAACACCGAACACAATCAATTGAATAACGATCTAATGCCTCTGCATAAGCTCTTGTACAATATTAACTAAGTATCGTAGGAAAATATCCACTCAAACCATTTGATGACCCAGTCCATGGACAGTGCCATGTTGTTCACCCTGAATCAGGAAATTACATGCATGTAATCTACGAACGTGATTTGTTAGGGGAAATATGGATTATGGGCTTTTTGATTCGCCAGTGGTTACCCTTACGCAAAAGCATTGGACCAATGGTATCGTATGAGTCCTACCCATGGTTGTTTGATTGGCTACCTGTCATTGTAGACCCCGCCTTCCTTGTCTGTCCCAAGGAAGAGATGTGTAGCCTCCAGATATTGCAAAATCATGGCAACATTCATGGAACGACTGTCTTTCCTTCAAAAAGTAGGTGTTATTTACCAATATAAAGACTTGCAAATAACATTTTGATATAATGCGTATATGTGACTTTATGGGGAAACCGTACATTGTTTTGTAAATCCCATTACGCCCACTGTTAACTGTACCACGGCAACCTAGTTAGCTAACGTTAGCATGCTAGCACATCATATGAATCACACTCCCAGGACAGAAATAGTTTGTGACTTGTCATGATCAGACTTGTATAAGACTTGAGCTCTATAGTCAATTGATATGATTTCTTCCGACAGTGTATTACACTGGACCCACCACCCTGTGCTGTTCGCTATAAACCCAAACATAATATGACACAAATCCTAGCTAAATTGACTATTCTGGTGTTCATCTGTTGGCCAATCCATGCATGATATCTCTCCCTCTCAGGTTCCCACTCTGATGAAAGCAACAGCACATGACGAAAAGCCCTGTCCTGGCTACCTCTTTGAAGAAATCGGAAGTATCCTTTTATACCCATCACCTCCCACTGTATGCTGATACAGTACTGTGTTCTGATATTAAACATCATTTAGCGAGATCCTATTATTTTCAATGTCAACCCAAAGACTGTACAGTTTAAATCCTTTACCCTCCTGGCACTGCAGAAATCTCCCAGGAGTCCACTGGGTGTGGTCAGTGCCTGTTGGAGTACCTGTTGGAGCGGCTGCAGGTAGAATCCTGCCATGTCAAAATAAAGGTGAGCTCAGCTAGCCAGGTTACCAGGCTTTCAGCTGCATTAAGAAGCCCCCAAACACTGAATTTGACCTTGGTTTGTTAACTGAGACTGAAGAGGAATCATGTAGAAGAATGCAGTTAATCTTCGCCATATATCATATCAGCTATTCATCTGTCCCTCTTCCCTTTCCATCGTTTCTGTCCTTCCAGGTTCTGAAGATCTTCGTCCATCTCTGTGGCCACGGATCGCCTCACTTTCTAACGGAACTCAGACGGAACTCCACCTTCATCCAGCAGGCCTCAGGTGAGATGACGATGTGACCACTAACGCATCGCACTGTCTCCATTTCCTCCTTCTCTTTATGACAGTAGGGTTTCGGAGAGACCTATGAGTGTTATACTGAATCTCTGTGTTATGCTGAATATCAGTTTACAGTGGTCCTCTTGACCCCATCCATGGCACTGCTATGTACCAGAAAGTGAGGGCCACAGCACAGGTGAGTCTAAACAATGTCTAAAACAATTACTATCCCTCCATGCATCTTTTTGAAACTCACAAACTCTCTATCTTTATCTGTCTTCAGGAGTTGGCCAGGTTACTCTTCACAGAGACAGTCTCTCCCCAGAGCAGCACATCTCCATGCAAACTGGCCATGGCCAACATGGGTGAGTACATTGTATTGTTATTGCATGTTCTGCATGTCTACCTCCCTTATTAGTTAACACACTATCTCTGCCCTAATACTGCTACTAATGACAGACATCGGGCTTCTGAATGGATGGATGTGACCTCAATTACAATCAACTTAACCCAATCCTCCTGACAGAGTATTGGGGAAGAGAAAGGGAGGGAGGGAGGAGGAGAAGCAGGGAGGAGTGAGGAAGAGACAGGGGGAAAAGAGGGAGTGGATGGGAAGAGAGAAGCAGGGAGGAGTGAGGGAGAGGAAGAGACGGGGGAAAAGAGGGAGTGGATGGGAAGAGAGAAGCAGGGAGGAGTGAGGGAGAGGAAGAGACAGGGGAAAAGAGGGAGTGGATGGGAAGAGAGAAGCAGGGAGGAGTGAGGGAGAGGAAGAGACGGGGGAAAAGAGGGAGTGGATGGGAAGAGAGAAGCAGGGAGGAGTGAGGGAGGGGAAGAGACAGGTGGGAAAAGCACGCAGACAAGTACAATGGTTGTCTTTTATCGCTGAGGTCTTTCCTTCCAGGCATGGGGTCGGAGTCTGCCCACGGGTCCAGAATGCAGGGGTTTGGCTACAGCCCAGGGAAGAACATAACAAGTAGGTGACAGCAACAAGGCCACCATTTTGGTTTCATGTGGCTCAGTGGACCTGTTAGAATACATTTCAAATGCACCCAGTCAAATCCAGTCTAATTCACTTCGTTCCAGCGGTGGTGAGACCCTGATGGACAGATCAGCAAGCTAATGAGTTTGTTGGCCAGTGCAGTGCCTGCCCCGATGGAGCACCCGGGTTCCGTCAACCACTACCGGGCAGTGGTGGCGCCTTCGGGCCCTGTAGAGGTGGCAGTGCCAGCATGTGCCTACACTGTGCCTCCTCACAGACCCAAAGGTATTTTTAAATCAGCTGTTATGTTGATTAGATCATTAGGCTTTTATTATATAGTTGTTACATATGTTAATGAGAGGACTGAAAGCCTTCTTAACCTCTCTCGCTCTCTCTCAGTTTCCCAGCGGTGTCCAGGGCAGGTGGGCGGGGGCTGGGAGGAGATTGACAGCGGCCATAGCTCCTCCCACAACTCCTGTCAGGAGAACGCAGACCATAGCCAGGTCTTGGGGGACAGAAGCAGCAATTCGGGTGGCACCGGGAGCCAATCGGGAGCCAGTAGGGAGAGCTCCGGAGACCTATCAGAACGGTAGAAATATTACATGATATAAGAAGTCTTTACCAGCAAAATATTAAAGGAGTCAACCATGCTGAGTCTCCCTCTCTCTCCCTCCATCCACCTTTCTCTGTGTCAGGGTGGAAGCTATGCAGTTAGGGGACTGTGGCCAGGAGATGGCGCTGATCAGCAGGATGACTGAGGGCTCCAAGGTCTTCCTGTCCAGAGAGGAGAACCAGCACTTCATCAAGGAGTCAGTACAGACCAATAGGTTGCATGTTATTAGAGCATTGGCTTCGACCTTTGTTCCCACCTGCCTTCACCTTGATTTTTGTCCAGTGTTTTTTTAATGTTTTAATTCCCTCCACTCTGTCCCCAGGTGTTCCACTCTGAACTGTGAGGTGGTGGTGGAGCTGCTCTCTCGCAGACTGCAGGACCCGTCACAGACTGTCCAGATGGTACAGTCAATAAACATGTGTCTTGAATGTGCTGCTATTTTGACCAGGTTTCTCTTGAAAAATAAATATCAAATCTCAAATATGTTTGAATGTGCTGCTTCCCTCCGTCCCCCCAGAGGGCGCTGTGTGCTGTGGCCTGTCTCATGACCTCTGATCTGCTGTCTCTGGAGCAAATCTTCGGGGTGACCCAGAGGAGGCTGGCCCAGCTGAGTGAGGGACCCCCAGGGCCCTGTAACCAATAAGACCACCAAGGTAACACATCATCTAGTTATTACCTTTAAAGCTGCAATATGTAACTTTTTGGGCTACCAAACAAAATTCACATAGAAATATTCAATTCCCATTGAAAGCAAGTCTAAGAAGCGGTAGATATGTTCTATGTGTGTTATTTTTATGCTTTCCGTTCTTAACTTTTGTTTTTGCATCTTTTACTTTCAGTTTGTACACCAGCTTCAAACAGCTGAACAATATTTTTGGTTTTTAAAATATACATGCTCATAATACATCTAATTCCAAAGTCATGGGCATTAATATGGAGTTGGTCCCCCCTTTGTTGCTATAACAGCCTCCACTCTTCTGGGAAGGCTTTCCACTAGATGTTGGAACATTGCTGTGGGGACTTGCTTCCATTCAGCCACGAGCATTAGTGAGGTCGGGCACTGATGTTGGGCGATTAGGACTGGCTTACAGTTGGCGTTCCAATTCATCCCAAAGGTGTTTGATGGAGTTGAGGTCAAGGCTTTGTGCAGGCAGGTCAAGTTTTTCCACACCGATCTCGACAAACCATTTCTGTATGGACCTCACTTTGTGCACGGGGCATAGTCATGCTGAAACAGGAAAAGACCTTCCCCAAACTGTTGCCACAAAGTTGGAAGCACAGAATCGTCTAGAATGTAATTGTGTGCTGTAGCTTTAAGGTTTCCCTTAACTGGAACTAAGGGGCCTGAACCATGAAAAACAGCCCCAAGACCATTATTCCTTCTCCACCAAACTTTACAGTTGGCACTATGCATTCGGGCAGGTAGCGTTCTCCTGGCATCCGCCAAACCCAGATTCGTCCATCGGACTGCCAGATGGTGAAGCGTGATTCATCACTCCGGAGAACGCGTTTCCACTGCTCCAGAGTCCAATGGCGGCGAGCTTTACACCACTCCAGCTGACGCTTGGCATTGTGCATGGTGGTCTTAGGCTTGTGTGCGGCTGCTCGGCCAGGGAAACCCATTTCATGAAGCTCCCGACGAACAGTTCTTGTGCTGATGTTGCTTCCAGAGGCAGTTTGGAACTCAGTAGTGAGTGTTGCAACCAAGGACAGACGATTTTTACACGCTACGCACTTCAGCACTCAGCAGTCCCGTTCTGTGAGCTTGTGTGGCCTATCACTTTGCAGCTGAGCCGTTGTTGCTCCTAGACATTTCCACTTCACAATAACAGCACTTACAGTTGACCGGGGCAGCTCTAACAGGGCAGAAATTTGACAAACTGACTTGTTGGAAAGGTGGCATCCTATGACGGTGCCACGTTGAAAGTCACTGAGCTCTTCAATAAGGCCATTCTACTGCTAATGTTTGTCTATGGCGATTGCATGGCTGTGTGCTTGATTTTATACCTGTCAGCAAGGGGTGTGGCTGAAATAGCAGAATCCACTAACTTGAAGGGGTGTCCACATTCTTTTAGTGTATTTCACAGCGATTTAGATGGTACAATGATTCTCTTGCTTGTTTGTCACATAAACTGAAATTATTAGAATTAGAATTTTAGCTACCAGGGAATGGCAGAGCGATTTCTGCATATTGAACCTTTAATAATAAGGTAACACCAGAGAGGCAGAGTGGGATGAGCCTGGGTGTTGCAATCTAAGATGATTATCTACGATGGTTGACTCTTGGCACATACAGTATGTAGTTTTGCATTGTAAAAAATGATGGTTTTGTCTTCCAGATCCTTCGTCAGTTTGAGGCTCTGATGGGCGGGCCAATCACTGGTGCCGGTCGTGATGCAGCAGCAGCCAATGGTGTTCCTCCCTCCTCCTCGGACCAGCCCCCCACTCCCAAAAGTCCCGCACTTCTACTGCCAACACGCCCAGGTGACATCACTGTCTTTAACCATCACAGAGGGAGAGACCCTGAGACTGAGCACTCACCACAACCCCCTCCCCTGCCTGACCTGGGCTGGGCCCAAAGGGGTACACCTGAGAGGTTACTAAATCTCGACCTTGATGATGAGGAGAGAGGGTCTGCTAGTCAGGATGAAGAGTTTGTGGACAGTCAGACTGGGTTCAGGACTGGTGAGACCCAGCTCACCTCAGATGTTACAGTTAAAGACCCAGAGCTCCAGACAGAGAGGGACCCCATCCGAGTCACGGACCCCCAGATCGAGCAGCCCTGTGGGGGTAGACTCTCTTTGTTCAGTGGCATGGAGCTGGTGACCAGAGGGAGGTCTGTGTGTCCATCAACCCTTACAGAGAGGAACGGAGACCTGCAGCCTCAGGCGGAAAAGAGAGACAGGAGGGAGCGTCTGATCCTTGAAACGGAGAGCGTTACCCCTACAAACACACCGCTACTCTGTCTCGATGACATCAGCGATACAACGCCTACATACGACCTCACGCCCACCAGCAGCCAATCAGCCTCAGCCTTCTCTTTCCTTAACCTCTGACCTTCAACACAAAACAGTAATGGTTAGGATAATACTGGCACCATACAGTGAGGGAAAAAAGTATTTGATCCCCTGCTGATTTTGTACGTTTGCCCACTGACAAAGAAATGATCAGTCTATAATTTTAATGGTAGGTTTATTTGAACAGTGAGACAGAATAACAACAAAAGAATCCAGAAAACGCATGTCAAAAATGTTATAAATTGATTTGCATTTTAATGAGGGAAATAAGTATTTGACCCCCTCTCAATCAGAAAGATTTCTGGCTCACAGGTGTCTTTTATACAGGTAACGAGCTGAGATTAGGAGCACACTCTTAAAGGGAGTGCTCCTAATCTCAGCTTGTTACCTGTATAAAAGATACCTGTCCACAGAAGCAATCAATCAATCAGATTCCAAACTCTCCACCATGGCCAAGACCAAAGAGCTCTCCAAGGATGTCAGGGACAAGATTGTAGACCTACACAAGGCTGGAATGGGCTACAAGACCATCGCCAAGCAACTTGGTGAGAAGGTGACAACAGTTGGTGCGATTATTCGCAAATGGAAGAAACACAAAATAACTGTCAAATCTCCCTCGGCCTGGGGCTCCATGCAAGATCTCACCTTGTGGAGTTGCAATGATCATGAGAACGGTGAGGAATCAGCCCAGAACTACACGGGAGGATCTTGTCAATGATTTCAAGGGAGCTGGGACCATAGTCACCAAGAAAACAATTGGTAACATACTACGCCGTGAAGGACTGAAATCCTGCAGCGCCCGCAAGGTCCCCCTGCTCAAGAAAGCACATATACAGGCCCGTCTGAAGTTTGCCAATGAACATCTGAATGATTCAGAGGAGAACTGGGTGAAAGTGTTGTGGTCAGATGAGACCAAAATCGAGCTCTTTGGCATCAACTCAACTCGCCGTGTTTGGAGGAGGAGGAATGCTGCCTATGACCCCAAGAACACCATCCCCACCGTCAAACACGGAGGTGGAAACATTATGCTTTGGGGGTGTTTTTCTGCTAAGGGGACAGGACAACTTCACCGCATCAAAGGGACGATGAACGGGGCCAAATCTTGGGTGAGAATCTCCTTCCCTCAGCCAGGGCATTGAAAATGGGTCGTGGATGGGTATTCTAGCATGACAATGACCCAAAACACACGGCCAAGGCAACAAAGGAGTGGCTCAAGAAGAAGCACATTAAGGTCCTGGAGTGGCCTAGCCAGTCTCCAGACCTTAATCCCATAGAAAATCTGTGGAGGGAGCTGAAGGTTCGAGTTGCCAAACGTCAGCCCCGAAACCTTAATGACTTGGAGAAGATCTGCAAAGAGGAGTGGGACAAAATCCCTCCTGAGATGTGTGCAAACCTGGTGGCCAACTACAAGAAACGTCTGACCTCTATGATTGCCAATAAGGGTTTTGCCACCAAGTACTAAGTCATGTTTTGCAGAGGGGTCAAATACTTATTTCCCTCATTAAAATACAAATCAATTTATAACATTTTTTACATGCGTTTTTCTGGATTTTTGTTGTTGTTGTTCTGTCTGTCACTGTTCAAATAAACCAACCATTAAAATTATAGACTGATCATGTCTTTGTCAGTGGGCAAACGTACAAAATCAGCAGGGGGATCAAATACTTTTTTCCCTCACTGTATGTATCTCTGCTCTAAAACCATGACTATACAGTTTGTCAGGTGTGCCCAGTCCTGAAGGTATGCAGTGTTCGCTGTGATCTGTGAGTCATAGTATTAACTTCATTTCCACAATAATCCCCAGAGGTAAAACCTCTACATGGTATGCCTGGAGAATGTTCAGTTTGCAGAGTTATGTTTAACAAAGGTGAGGTAATTTTCATGAGCTAGTTCGGGTTATTAAGAGTTAACAGTTACTTGATTTTATGTTAGAGTAATCCCACTGGGCACACACTGATTGAATTAACATTGTTTCCACGTCATTTCAATGAAATGACGTTGAGCCAACGTGGAATAGATGTTGAATTGACGTCTGTTCCCAGCGGGATGTGTTGTCCGCTCTGGCACTAGGTACCATTCTTACTACCTTAAATATTAACATTGAGTGTTATTTCACAAGTGTGTTTTATTTCTCCTGTTTATTCACATTCAATAGGAATGGGACTGGTTGTAGATTGCATGTAGTATTTGCCAAAACCTCAGTGAAATATAACAAAGTAATGAATGAACGAGTAGTTCTCCCCCTCTATGTCCTCTAAACCATGCCTGTCTGCCGGTCAGAACGCTACAGTATATGATGGTTTGAAAGCATATTGGGACATTCAGTGGTGATACTGTGTATTTCAACTAAAGCCATGCAGTTGCACCACTGTGTGTGACTATAATAAAACCTGCTGTAGTAGAAAGGCCTTGTATGGTGGGGCATTACATTAGCTGCACCCCGCCCTTCAGGCGTTAAATAAATGGATCTGATTCACTGGCATTCCTCCCTTGTCAGAAATGTGTTATCTGTTCAGTTTTTTTTGGGTCTCTGGATATGCCACTAGGGCTGCGTTTACACAGGCAGCCCAATTCTGATATTTTTTCACTAATTGGTCTTTTGACCAATCATGTCAGCTCTGAAAAAGAGCTGATGTGATTGGTCAAAAGAACAATTTGAGGAAAAGAGATCAGATTTGGGCTGCCTGTATAAACGCAGCCTAATATTCTCAACTCCCTGTGGGACCATGGGACTTGCTTACTCTCAGAACTGCAATGTTTTGAATCAAATGTTCCCCTCTCCAGTGTGGGCTGACTAATCTACCAGCTCACGTTTGTTGCGTGTGTTTTAAATTTGATTGAAAACATTGGGTGCAGGGAGAAGTCAGGTAATCTAGTGGGTCTGTCAGTCAGCAGGGAGTTGTCTCATATGTGGTTCAGATTTGCTATGTGCCCGGAGGGGGCCCGAGTTAGGACAAAAAAACATTCCTACACTACAAGAATAACAGGTATGTCACTATGGAAAAGGATCCTTGGGACATCTGCCCCCTTTATTCTATGTACCCAACGCACTAGAAGACCAGTTCTTAAAGCCTTTAGCCGTATCCTTATTCTAGTCCTCCTCTGTTCCTCTGGTGATGTAGAGGCTAACCCAGGCCCTGCAGCCCTCAGTATCACTCCTACTCCCCAGGCGCTATCATTTGCTGACTTCTGTAATCGCAAAAGTATTGGTTTCTTGCACGTAAATATCAGAAGTCTACTTCCTAAGTTTGAGTTATTCACTGCGTTAGCACACTCCGCCAACCCTGATGTTCTAGCAGTGTCTGAATCCTGGCTCAGGAAGGCCACCAAAAATTCTGAAATTTCCATCCCCAACTATAACATTTTCCGTCTAGATAGAACTGCCAAAGGGGGTGGAGTTGCAATCTACTGCCCAAACAGTTTGAGCTTCTACTTCTAAAAATCCACCTTTCCAGAAATAAGTCTCTCACTGTTGCCGCTTGCTACAGACCCCCCTCAGCCCCCAGCTGTGCCCTGGACACCATATGTGAATTGATTGCCCCCCATTTATCCTCAGAGTTCGTACTGCTTGGTGACCTAAATTGGGATATGCTTAATACCCCGGCCATCCTACAATCCAAACTAGATGCCCTCAACCTCACGCAAATTATCAACGAACCTACCAGGTACAACCCTAAATCCGTAAACATGGGTACCCTCATAGATATCATCCTGACTAACACACCCTCTAAATACACCTCAGCTGTCTTCAACCAGGATCTCAGCGATCACTGCCTTATTGCCTGCGTCCGTAACGGGTCCGCGGTCAAACGACCACCCCTCATCACTGTCAAACGCTCCCTAAAACACTTTAGCGAGCAGGCCTTCCTAATTGACCTGGCCCAGGTATCCTGGATGGATATAGATCTCATTCCGTCAGTAGAGGATGCCTGGTTGTTCCTTAAAAGTAATTTCCTCTCAATCTTAAATAAACATGCCCCATTCAAAAAATACAGAACTAAGAACCGCTATAGCCCCTGGTTCTCCTCAGACTTGACTGCCATTGACCAGCACAAAAACATCCTGTGGCGTACTGCATTAGCATCAAATAGCCCCCACGATATGCAACTTTTCAGGGAAGATAGGAACCAATATACACAAGCAGTCAGGAAAGCAAAGGCTAACTTTTTCAAACAGAAATTTGCATCCTGTAGCACTAACTCCAAAAAGTTTTGGGACACTGTAAAGTCCATGGAGAATAAGAGCACTTCCTCCCAGTTGCCCACTGCACTGAGGCTAGGAAACACTATCACCACCGATAAATCTACAATAATCGAGAATTTCAACAAGCATTTTGCTACAGCTGGCCATGCTTTCCATCTGGCTACCACTACCCCCGGCCACCAACTCTGCACCCTCCGCTGCAACTTGCCCATGCTCCCCCCCGCTTCTCCTTCACACAAATTCAGACAGCTGATGTTTTGAAAGCGCTGCAAAATCTGGACCCCTACAAATCAGCTGGGCTAGACAATCTGGACCCTTTCTTTCTAAAACTAGCCGCCGAAATTGTCGCAACCCCTATTACTAGTCTGTTCAACCTCTCTTTCTTATCGTCTGAGATCCCCAGAGATTGGAAAGCTGCCGCGGTCATCCCCCTCTTCAAAGGGGGTGACACTCTAGATCCAAACTGCTACAGACCTATATCCATCCTGCCCTGCCTTTCGAAAGTATTTGAAAGCCAAGTTAACAAACAGATCACCGACCATTTCGAATACCACCGTACCTTCTCCGCTTTGCAATCCGGTTTCCGAGCTGGTCATGGGTGCACTTCAGCCACGCTCAAGGTCCTAAACGATATTATAACCGCGATTGATAATAGACAGTACTGTGCAGCCGTCTTCATCGACCTGGCCAAGGCTTTCGACTCTGTCATATAGCCTTGGTTAGCCTTGGTTTCTCAAATGACTGCCTCGCCTGGTTCACCAACTACTTCTCAGAGTTCAGTGTGTCAAATCGGAGGGCCTGTTGTCTGGACCTATGGCAGTCTCTATAGGGGTGCCACAGGGTTCAATTCTTGGGCCAACACTTTTCTCCGTGTATATCAATGATGTCGCTCTTGCTGCTGGTGACTCTCAGATCCACCTCTACGCAGACGACACCATTTTGTATACATCTGGCCCTTCATTGGACACTGTGTTAACAAACCTCCAAACGAGCTTCAATGCCATACAACACTCCTTCAGTAGCCTCCAACTGCTCTTAAACACTAGTAAAACTAAATGCATGCTTTTCAATCGAACGCTGCTGGCACCCGCCCACCCGACTAGAATCACCACTCTCGACGGGTCTGACCTAGAGTATGTGGACAACTACAAATACCTAGGTGTCTGGTTAGACTGTAAACTCTCCTTCCAGACTCACATAAAGAATCTCCAATCCAAAGTTAAATCTAGAATCGGCTTCCTATTTCGCAACAAAGCCTCCTTCACTCATGCTGCCAAACATGCCCTCGTAAAACTGACTATCCTACCGATCCTTGACTTCGGCGATGTCATTTACAAAATAGCCTCCAACACTCTACTCAGCAAATTGGATGTAGTCTATCACAGTGCCATCCGTTTTGTCTCCAAAGCCCCATACACTACCCACCACTGTGACCTGTACGCTCTTGTTGGCTGGTCCTCACTACATGTTCGTCGTCAAACCCACTGGCTCCAGGCCATCTATAAATCACTGCTAGGCAAATCCCCGCCTTATCTTAGCTCATTGGTCACCATAGCAGCACCCACCCGTAGTCTGCGCTCCAGCAGGTATATCTCACTGGTCATTCCCAAAGCCAACACCTCCTTTGGCCGCCATTCCTTCCAGTTCTCTGCTGCCAATGACTGGAACGAATTGCAAAAATCTCTGAAGCTGGAGACTCTTATCTCCCTCACTAACTTTAAGCATCAGTTGTCAGAGCACCTTACCGATCACTGCACCTGTACACAGCCCATCTGAAATTAGCCCACCCAACTACCTCATCCCTATATTGTTATTTATTTTGCTCTTTTGCACCCCAGTATCTCTATTTGCACATAATCTCTTGCACATCTAGCATTCCAGTGTTAATACTATTGTAATTATTTTGCACTATAGCTCTATTATTGCCTTACCTCTATACTTGCTACATTTGCAACACTGTATATATATTTTCTGTTGTATTTTTGACTTTAATGTTTTTGTACCCCATATGTAACTCTGTGTGTTTTTTATCGCACTGCTTTGCTTTATCTTGGCCAGGTTCGCAGTTTGTAAAATGAGAACCTTGTTCTCAACTGGCTTACCTGGTTACATAGAAGGTTAAATACAATAAAAAAATAATAAAACAATCCCCCTCTTGACGTCACCCCATTGAAGTTGACCATTTAAAAAGTTTGGGTATGTATGTAGGAAAGTGATCTTTTCCCCCTTCTCCTTTATAGCACTAACCATTTCCCAACTATAGGGAAGGGGGGTTAAACTCCAAACCTGTGATATCGCACCATTTCAGATGCAGATATTCTTTGCCGATGGACCGACCTGTCAGAGTTGTCTTTATCTAGGTACTCAGACCCCGCTGGGCAGTGATTTAGTCAAGTCACTAAACCTCGAGTCCCAAGTCCCATCATTCGAGTCCAACTCCAAGTCCTTTATACTTGAGTCCCAAGTCTCTTGGCAGTGCTAAAAGCTGCGGTCCAACAATCTTTGAAGCAATATTTTGTCAGGTAGAAGGCTAAGTAAGGCTAGACTGCTGGTACAGTAGCTATGTAACTTTGTTGTTGTAGCTAGCATGTTGAATCATGCAAGGGAGAGAGACTGACAAAGTAATCACTGGTCGAGTCAGAGTTGAGTCACGAGTTAGGAAAATCGTGACTTAAGTCCAAGTCAAAATGCCTCAGTTTAAAAGAGTATTTCCATAAGGGAAAAAATTACTTTAGTAAAAAGTTATATTTATCCACTCATCTTAGATACATGCCATAGTAGTTTTTATAGGGAGCAAACCAACTGAAATAAGACAGGGTAAATATCCATCAAGTCAAATTTATTGTAACCTCAAAGGGCAGAATACCACAACAGATGTTCTCAAAAGGCAACCATTAAGAGTATTCAGAGGTTGTTGATTATGCGCTTCACAAGTCCTTAGTGTCACTCAGCCATAGCTATGGAAACACAATTTCCCCAGAATAACACTAGTGCTTTCACCCCAAAAAAGGCTGGGAGTGGGACCCAGTCCTGATGAAAAAACAGCAAGACTGAACAAGACTGTAAACACAGCAGGTTGTGGTTCTAGAGGGGGATGGAGACGATGGTGGGTAGCTCCCCAACAGGTGGAGGGTTGTACTTCTCCACCCTCATCAGTCGACGTAGGATGTCGTCTCTGTCCTTTGGCCAGGTGTAGACTAGAGTGTTCTGGAGCCAGGCAGGAACATGGCACTGAGACAGAGACAGAAGCCCTGTTTATACCTGGTTCTAACATGCAGCCTTTGTCCTGATCATGTCCACATTCTGATTGTGCCCACATTTTTAGATAGGTGTAGACGATTAAAAGAAGCATTGTGATCTGATTGTGATCTTCCTGCCCACCTCTGGAGGTAGTCAGGCACGCATTGTGTCTGGATATCGTACAAGTGTAAACGGAGCTGGACAGTGAAACCATTTCAATCATTATTTCCCGCCCTCTAAAACCATTGACAGGTGACACCATTGACTTGTGGCATCAATAGGTGTCTTAAAATAAATACATATTCATTTGAAAGAATATCTGTCATATACTTTGCATACAGGGAGGGACCAGAAAATCTGGTCACAATGCAGACACAGTTTAATACCACATCTGAAAACGTGGGCACAATCGTTCTGCTGAGGGGAGGACGGCTCATAAAAATGGCTGGAATGGAGTGAATGGAATAGTATCAAACACACATGGAAACCATGTGTTTGATACCATTTATTCCATTCCAGCCATTACTATGAGCCCGTCCTCCCCAATTAAGGTGCCACCAACCTAAAGTGGTGTTAGCGCAAGGTATAAACGGGCTAGAGGGCTGCTAGAAATTCAGTAAATAAAAGCTATTCTCTTTCAGTTTCCTAGTGAAGTGTTTTAGTGCTTAAAAAAACATATATTAACTACTTTTTCCTACATTTTTTTTCTTCTTCATTTAAAAAAACGTGCCACATAAATCCCATACCCTTTTAGCTCCTGGAAACAGTATGGGAATGAATCTGAAGTTCTGGCATCCATTCTGAATGAACTCATTCTGCAGCTGTAACATAGTCACAGTTTCATATCACTTTCTAGAAGTGAAGCATTAAATAGATGAAAACATTATTTTTGATAGATTATTAGGTTTCTATATGGAGTGCCATAAGCTCACCTGCTTATGGATATAGACTGTGTGTAACATCCTCTCGTCTTTCTCCATGTAGATATTAGCCCCCGTTACGGTCTCATGATACTTGGGACTGATAACAATGATGATAAGGTAATATTTCTGAGAAGATGGAGATAGAAAGCCTCAGCCCAGGCCACTTCATGTTGACACATGCTAACTTGACTTCATTTGTGACGTAACATAGCGTTGATAAAAAAAGGTTAAGAAGCATTTCTACCATCTTGTCAAAGTTGTCCGAGGTTGAATCAGCCATTTTACCTCGTTGATGTATTTTTCCATGAAGTCAATGGCGCTGATGCTTCTGAGCTGTTGCTCAAATACATCCACCTGAAAACATACAGGAAGAAAAACATCACTAATATACTACTTGACATCAGTAAAAGTCAAGCGAAATTCTTTAATTCTGAACTCTTAAAAAGGAAATGAGGATATAAAAGGAAACTTACACTGGTGTCAAAGCCGTTGTGTCGCAGCAGGGAAACAAAGTTCATGGTCTCTTTAAAATGGTTGTCGCTGTCTCTCTCATAGGTGACAAAGACCTTTCCTAAAAGAAACAAATAATATGTTACTCAATAGCACTGTCTGCTGTTAAATAGCACACAGCATGGACCAATGGAAACAAGTGAGTAATCACTCCTATTTGTATAATATCACAAACATTTTACATTTTTGTAATTTAGCAGATGCTCTTATCCACAGTGACTTAGTCACATTCATCTTAAGATAGCTAGGTGAGACAACCACATATCACAGTTACCGTAATTTTCGGACTATAAGACGCACCTTTTTCCCCATTTTTCGACCCTGCGGCTTATATAACGGTGCGGCTAATCTATGGATTTTTACAGCTAACGGCCACTAGAATACCTCCTAAATCTATGGATTTTACAGGTTACAGTCCACCAACTTAACTCTATGGGCTCTATGACCGATTCCGCGCCCCCCACCTTTAAGCGGCGGGCTCCAGCAGGAAAAGCTGGAGGCCGGAAAAGAGTGAGACAGGTAGCGCGCAAAAGTAAAAGTGGAACCGAGAGTGGTACGAGAGACAGAACGAGAGACAGAACGAGAGCAAGACAGACAGACATTACAGAGAGCGAGACAGTTTGTCTCTTTCCCGACAATCCCCTCTGTGCACGAACCCTTACATATGGTAATTAAACATTAAAACACCTGCGGCTTATAGTCCAGTGCGGCTTATATAGTACACATCATTCAATATCATTCAATTTAGCTGCTGCGGCTTATACTCCGGTGCGCCTTAAAGTGCGGAAAATACGGTAGTTCATTCGTCTTAAGATAGCTACAGTGAGGGAAAAAAGTATTTGATCCCCTGCTGATTTTGTACGTTTGCCCACTGACAAAGAAATGATCAGTCTATAATTAAATGGTAGGTTTTTTGAACAGTGAGAGACAGAATAACAACAAAGAAATCCAGAAAAAACACATGTCAAAAATGTTAAAATGAATTGCATTTTAATGAGGGAAATAAGTATTTGCCCCCCTCTCATCAAAAAACATTTCTGGCTCCCAGGTGTCTTTTATACAGGTAACGAGCTGAGATTAGGAGCACACTCTTAAAGGGAGTGCTCCTAATTTCAGCTTGTTACCTGTATAAAAGACACCTGTCCATAGAACCAATCAATCAATCAGATTCCAAACTCTCCACCATGGCCAAGACCAAAGAGCTCTCCAAGGATGTCAGGGACAAGATTGTAGACCTACACAAGGCTGGAATGGGCTACAAGACCATCGCCAAGCAGCTTGGTGAGAAGGTGACAACAGTTGGTGCGATTATTCGCAAATGGAAGAAACACAAAATAACTGTCAATCTCCCTCGGCCTGGGGCTCCATGCAAGATCTCACCTCGTGGAGTTGCAATGATCATGAGAACGGTGAGGAATCAGCCCAAAACTACACGGGAGGATCTTGTCAATGATCTCAAGGCAGCTGGGACCATAGTCACCAAGAAAACAATTGGTAACACACTATGCCGTGAAGGACTGAAATCCTGCAGCGCCGGCAAGGTCCCCCTGCTCAAGAAAGCACATATACAGGGCCGTCTGAAGTTTGCCAATGAACATCTGAATGATTCAGAGGAGAACTGGGTGAAAGTGTTGTGGTCAGATGAGACCAAAATTGAGCTCTTTGGCATCAACTCAACTCGCCGTGTTTGGAGGAGGAGGAATGCTGCCTATGACCCCAAGAACACCATCCCCACCGTCAAACATGGAGGTGGAAACATTATGCTTTGGGGGTGTTTTTCTGCTAAGGGGACAGGACAACTTCACCGCATCAAAGGGACGATGAACGGGGCCAAATCTTGGGTGAGAACCTCCTTCCCTCAGCCAGGGCATTGAAAATGGGTCGTGGATGGGTATTCTAGCATGACAATGACCCAAAACACACGGCCAAGGCAACAAAGGAGTGGCTCAAGAAGAAGCACATTAAGGTCCTGGAGTGGCCTAGCCATTCTCCAGACCTTAATCCCATAGAAAATCTGTGGAGGGAGCTGAAGGTTCGAGTTGCCAAACGTCAGCCCCAAAACCTTAATGACTTGGAGAAGATCTGCAAAGAGGAGTGGGACAAAATCCCTCCTGAGATGTGTGCAAACCTGGTGGCCAACTACAAGAAACGACTGACCTCTGTGATTGCCAACAAGGGTTTTGCCACCAAGTACTAAGTCATGTTTTGCAGAGGGGTCAAATACTTATTTCCCCTCATTAAAATGCAAATCAATATATATATATTTTTTTACATGCGTTTTACTGGATTTTTTTGTTGTTGTTCTGTCTCTCACTGTTCAAATAAACCTACCATTAAAATTATAGACTGATCATGTCTTTGTCAGTGGGCAAACGTACAACATCAGCAGGGGATCAAATACTTTTTTCCCTCACTGTAGGTGAGACAACCAGATATCACAGTTAGTTCATTCATCTTAAGATAGCTAGGTGAGACAACCACATATCACAATCATATTAAGTAAAACTTTTCCATAATGTCCCCTTGTAGCTCAGTTGGTAGAGCATGGCGCTTGCAACGCCAGGGTTGTGGGTTCGTTTCCCACGGGGAGCCAGTATGAAAATGTATGCACTCACTAACTGTAAGTCGCTCTGGATAAGAGCGTCTGCTAAATGACTAAAATGTCAATGTTAATAAAGCAACTGTCTGCAAAGTCAGTGTTAGTAGAAAAATACAACAGATTCCATGTTGATACTATTGGCAGTTTTGGTCTACCTCCAACTACCATACTCTGTACAGCACTTACTCTGATCCAACTACCATACTCTGGGATCCCGAGTGGCGCAGCGGTCTAAGGCACTGCATCTCAGTGCTTGAGGCGTCACTACAGATTCCAGGCTGTATCACAACCGGCCGTGATTGGGAGTCCCATAGGGCGGTGCACAATTGGCCCAGCGTCGTCCAGGTTTGGCCGGTGTAGGCAGTCATTGTAAATAAGAATTTGTTCTTAATTGACTTGCCTAGTTAAATAAAAAAGTTAAATAAAAACAGCACTTACTTTGCTCCAATGACAGCTGTGTACTACTCCCAGGTCTGTCACTCTGTCTGTGTTGGGGGACAAAGCTCTCACTGTGATGGGAGAGACAAATCATGGTGCCAGTCAAGAACTTAACTTACAATGTACAGCTAGCACACTAAGTGTAATTCAATTCAAAATACTTTATTTATCCCTCAAGGGGAAATTGTGCAGGCAGTTATTGGCCTTTTAGATGTTTGAGTTCCCACTGTCTGTTTGGTAGCTTAGAACCCTTGTCTATTGGTCTGTACTAACCCATTACCTATGATGTGTGTCCACCAGTGGAGGCTGGTGAGAGGAGATATAGGAGAACGGTCTCATTGTAATGGATGGAATGGAATTAAATGGAATGGAATCAAATGTGTGGTTTCCATATGTTTGATGTGTTTGATACCGCTCCATTAATTCCATTCCATTCATTACAATGAGCATGTCCTCCTACAGCTCCTCCCACCAGCCTCCTCTGGTGTCCACCTTATAGCTAATGCTGTGTTATGGCCTGTACTGTTTGAGCACGACTTCAGTGGCATGCAGAGTCCGGAACCGAAAACACATTATTATTAGCACATGCCTGTTCCAATGGAAAAAAAGAGTATGTCGCATGTAATTGGCATAATTAGCTTGTCAGAACTATTCTCTGTCAAAATAATTTACGGTATGCATTCCTCATATCATCCTCTTCAAATGGGCTTGATATTGTCACAGATGCCATCGTTTACACTATTAGACAGTTTTTAAAATGTAAAATCAGGGAAGTAAAACATTGAGCGGAAGTTGTAACATCAGAGATGAAGGTGGGTTACAATTTAGTCATTTAGCAGACGCTCTTATCCAGAGCGACTTACAGTTAGTGAGTGCATACATTTTTCATAGGTTAGTTAGACAACTCACCTTTGAGTGGTGGCAGCTGCATCTTGATGTCTGCAGTGGTCTGGACCTGATATGACAGACAGACAGACACATACATACAGTACCAGTCAAAAGTTTTAGAACACCTACTCATTCCAGGGTTTCTCTTTATTTTTACTATTTTCTACATTGTAGAATAATAGTGAAGAAATCAAAACTATGAAATAACACATATGGAATCATGTGGTAACCAAAAACATGTTAAACAAATTTAAATATATTTTATATTTGAGACTCTTCAAATAGCCACCCGTTGCCTTGATGACAGCTTTGCACACTCTTGGCATTCTCTCAACCAGCTTCATGAGGTAGTCACCTGGAATGCATTTAAATTAACAGGTGTGTTCATTTGTGGAATTTCCTTCCTTCTTAATGCGTTTGAGCCAATCAGTTGTGTTGTGACAAGGTAGGAGGGGGTATACAGAAGATAGCCCTATTTGGTAAAAGACCAAGTCTGTATTATGGCAAGAACAGCTCAAATAAGCAAAGAGAAACGACAGTCCATCATTCCTTTAAGACATGTCAATATGGAACATTTCAAGAACTTTGAAAGTTTCTTCAAGTGCAGTCGCAAAAACCATCAAGCGCTATGATGAAACTGGCTCTCGTGAAGACTGACACAGGAGTGGAAGACCCAGAGTTACCTCTGCTGCAGAGGATAAGTTCATTAGTGTTATCAGCCTCAGAAATTGCAGCCCAAATAAATGCTTCACAGAGTTCAAGAAACAGACACATCTCAACATCAACTGTTCAGAGGGGACTGTGTGAATCAGGCCTTCATGGTCGAATTGCTGCAAAGAAACCACTACTAAAGGACACCAATAAGAAGAAGAGACTTGCTTGGGCCAAGAAACGACTTGCAATGGACATTAGACCAGTGGAAATCTGTCCTTTGGTCTGATGAGTCCAAATTTGAGATTTTTGGTTCCAACCGCCGTGTCTTTGTGAGACGCAGAGTAGGTGAACGGATGATCTCCGCATGTGTGGTTCCCACTGTTAAGCATGGAGGAGGTGGTGTGATGGTGCTTTGTTGGTGACACTTGTCTGTGATTTATTTAGAATTCAAGGCACACTTAACCAGCATGGCTACCACAGCATTCTGCAGCGATACGCCATCCCATCTGGTTTGCGCTTAGTGGGACTATCATTTGTTTTTCAACAGGACAATGACCCAACACACCTCCAGGCTGTGTAAGGGCTTTTTGACCAAGAAGGAGAGTGATGGAGTGCTGCATCAGATGACCTGGCCTCCACATTCCCCCGACTTCAACCCAATTTTTTTATTTTTTTTTATTTTATTAGGATCCCCATTAGCTGTTGCAAAAGCAGCAGCTACTCTTCCTGGGGTCCACACAAAACATGAAACATGACATAACACAGAACATTAATAGACAAGTACAGAACTACATCAATAAAAATACATACACAAACTATCTAGGTCAAATAGGGGAGAGGTGTTGTGCCGTGAGGTGTTGCTTTATCTGTTTTTTTGAAACCAGGTTTTCTGTTCATTTGAGCAATATGAGATGGAACAGAGTTCCATGCAATAATGTCTATATAATATCGTACGCTTTCTTGAATTGTTCTGGATTTGGGGACTGTGAAATATCTGGTGGTGTAAGTTTGTGTGTCAGAGCTGTGTGTAAGTTGACTATGCAAACAATTTGGTATATTCAACATGTTTCCAAGAGAGACTGGCATGCATAGTATTTATATCAGCCCTCCGATTACAGTTCTTGGCTCTTTCCAGAACAGCTACCTTGTCCTTGAACCTCAGGAACTTGACCACTATCAGCCTGGGCCTGTCACATGGGCCGGTGGTGGGTTTTCCAGTCCTGTGGGCGCGCTCCACCTCAATCTTCCGGTGGTCCATCTTCAATTTCTCAGAGATCATTTCCCTCACTTTGTCCTCAGACTCCGTCCAGGTCTCATATGGGGATTCTGCAATTCCGTCCACAACCATGTTGAGGGACAACCGTCATTGTTATCATGGATTCACACAGAGAACTGATGTCCTCTCTCAATGACTTCTTCTGTTTCACCTCATCGAGCTGACCCTGGGAGAACTGCAAACTGTTCTTCAGGTCCTGGACCTCTCTGGTCAGGTCGTCCATTATTTTATTAGTTGAATCCACCAGTATTTGGACACAACACTTGAAGCTATTTTCTTCTTGTTGTAACAACTGCTTGTAGAACTATTTTTGTTCGTTTAAAAGATCCTTCACCTGTGATAGACACCACTGTCCTCAACAGTACTCCCGCCGGCTTTGGTCTTTGTCATGGTAGCTAGCAACGTAGGTTACGCTGTTACTCCTCGCAATTCCAGACAGGGCAGGTCACAGGGAAGATTGAACACAACAAACAGCTTGTCACGGTTTCGGCCGAGACTGCTCCTCCTCCTGGTTCGGGCAGGCAAAGGCGTTCGCCGTCCCCGGAGTACTAGCTGCCATCGTTGGACTATTTCCATGTGCGATTGCTTTTGTCTGTCTTTAGCACCTGTGCACACAAACAGCTGCGTTCAAGCCTTCAAGAATCCCTGCTAGCTTGATAGGCAGCTACCTAGCAGCTAGGCTAGATCCAAACTAAAAAGTTAGCTAGCTACTAAGAAACTTTCCAATACACTTTCAAAACACAAAACTTTTCAAAACAACAAACCAAGGTCTCCTTCGTTCAACAGGACGCGGAACCCTCTTCCGTGAAAAACAGAGGAGCTCAGACACTGAGATGGTTTGGGATGAGTTGGACTGCAGAGTGAAGGAAAAGCAGCCAACAAGTGCTCAGCATATGTGGGAACTCCTTCAAGACTGTTGGAAAAGCATTCCAGGTGAAGCTGATTGAGAGAATGCCAAGAGTGTGCAAAGCTGTCATCAAGGCAAAGGGTGGCTACTTTGAAGAATCTCAAATATAGGATATATTTGATTTGTTTAACACTTTTTTGGTTACTACATGATTCCATATGTGTTATTTCATAGTTGAGGTCATCACTATTATTCTACAATGTAGAAAATAGTAAAAATAAAGAAAAACCCTTGAATGAGTAGGTGTGTCCAAACTTTTGACTGGTACTGTATATTAACATAAATACAGAAAGAGTATAATTTTGATTGTCACTAGCTAGGTTTCCATCCAATTGAAGACAGATTTCATGGGAATATTCTCAAATCTATATAAAAGCAATAACAGCATTTTCCCACCAGAGATGTGTTTCCATCAAATTGACTTGTTGCGGATAAAAGGCTGTGCGTGATGATGTAGTGCACATAAAAATAACCGTTGCAGTTAAATTCCCATGTACCAAATAAAAAATACAAGTGAAATGGGTTTCCATCGCATTTTCAACTCTACTGATGGTTTTGTCACAAAAAAATTGCGTTATATATCGAATGTGCGCACTCTGGTTTTGGCGCTAATGCCAATAACTTGCAGATACAGTGCAGGATAGCCTACATGATGAGATTTTTATGGACAAAAGAGCGAGATTGTTATTTGTCAAACGGCAGCCAAGCATCAATGATCATGTCACCAGAAAAATATTTAATGGAAAGGAGCATCAAGCTCATCACCTTGAACTTTCACCACCCTGTGAAGTTCATCATAACTTATTTAATCTGTAGCGACATGTCAACGCGTGACTCCAAGTTTACTTCGATATGATGGCCATTATATCAATATTTGCGCATAAGGCATCTCCATCCCCATTTCTCACAAAAAAACGTTTAACTGACTCAAAAAGATCCCACCTTGTCTAGCGTATTTTGTTTTGTTGACATTTGGAAAGTTTACTGTCAAATTTGCTGTTTCCATCAGACCTGTCGTCACATGTTTCTTCTGACACTTTACTTGCATAAAAAAGGTTAGATGGAAACCTGTTTATAAACAGAATATGTTGCTGCACTGTGGATGATTTAACACTCTTTAGGGTGTGGGATGACAAAGTACATACAAAATGTAAGTGCCTCTGAGGAATAGGCCTAGGAATAGGCCACATATGGCCTGGGATGTGTGTGACATACACTGACCGTACAAAACATTAAGAACACCTGCTCTTTCCATGTCATAGACGGACCAGGTGAATCCAGGTGAAAGCTATGATCCCTTATTGATGTCACTTGTTAAATCCACTTCAATCAGTGTAGATGAAGGGGAGGAGACAGGTTAAAGGATTTTTAAGCCTAGAGACAATTGAGACAAAAGACAAAAGTGCCTTTGAACGGGGTATGGTAGTAGGTGCCAGGCACATTGGTTTGAGTGTGTCAAGAACTGCAATGCTGCTGGGGTTTTTCACGCTCAACAGTTTCCTGTGTGTATCAAGAATGGTCCACCACCCAAAGGACATCCAGCCAACTTGACACAATTGTGGGACGCATTGGAGTCAACATGGGCCAGCATCCCTGTGGAATGCTTTTTCGACACCTTGCAGAGTCCGACGAATTGAGGCTGTTCTGAGGGCGAAAGGGGGGTGCAACTCAATATTAGGAAGGTGATCTTAATGTTTTGTCCGCTCAGTGTATAAGTGCATGTGTAACTCCCCTTGAGGGATTCACAAGGTACACACATACTGTGCCAACTTGCCTTGGTCATAGTCAGTGCCTCTCACCTGGTTAATACATATATATACACCTACATGACTGGAACAGGAACTCACCATAGTAGGGTGGACGGTACCTTGGCCTTGGAACGAGCTGTAGGACAGGGCCCATTCCGAGCCCCTGTGCAGGGCACTGTGCACAGCAGACCGGGCCCTGGGTAGGGTAGGGGTACGGGGGAAGGAAAGGGTAGCGGAGGACAGCCTCTGGTGGGCAGGAGAGCAGAGAGTATGGCTGCTCCAGGCTACTGATGCTTGGGCTGTATCGCCCAGGGAGTGGGTGGTGGGATTTACCCTGGCGATGATAGCCATCCTCTACTGGGCAACTGGCAAAGTCTGCACAGTGCGGGTATGGGTAGGATGGCAGGCTGTCTGGGTATGTCCCTCCAGTGCTTCCGTCGCTGCTGTTGGCAAAGCTGGATTTCAGCCAGGCGTACCTCTGGTGGTCCAGGGCACTCAGACACATCTCTTCCTGTCCGGGGTAGGGTGTCTGGGGGCTGTAGCCAGTACATAATCCCTGGGGTGGCCAGTTTGGGCTGGAGCTTGATGGTGCTTCTTCTTGGCTGCCGTGTGGCTCTCTATTGGCCATCCTGCTCTGGCTGAGGACTTCTGGGTAATTGAGTTGACTATGGGGTGTTAAGTGTAGGGCACTAGATATGGATATGTCACTCATTGTCTCGTCATTCTCTTCACACTGCTGACTGTGGCTGTCCAGCAGGGGAGGGAGTCTACAGAGAGTGAAGAGACAAGTCACCCAACAGTGAATAATCTAGAACAGGGATGAGACACTTTGATTTGGGTGGGGGCCACAAAAGATCTGAACTCATCATGAGGGGCCGAAGTGGTTCACAGGTCTGTGTTCCCACATTAATACAGAGCCGACCCTAAGTTAAATGTTTGGATTAAATTGATTGAGTCAATACTTATGATTTAGGCTTGCCATAATAAAAGGGGTTAAATATACTGAACAAAAATGTTCCACTTTTGGAAGGCAGAGAGTTTTGTGATCTTCATCATCAACCAAGTAACTGCCACACATAACTATTCAAAGCCTTTGTTTGCACTGTAATTAATAGAGGCCATTTTGCTACAGTAAGCAAAGTGTCGTGCGAGCCTGTGAGGCGATTACCTTGGAGATGCACTCTGCAGAGAGGGTAACATCACTGATTATTCCTGGAACACCAAAGGATTTCACAAACCTGTCATTAAAAATATTACTGAGGTACAGTTGAAGTCGGAAGTTTACATACACCTTAGCTAAATACATTTAAACTCAGTTTCACAATTCCTGACATTTAATCCTAGTAAAAATTACCTGTCTTAGGTCAGTTAGGATCACCACTTTATTTTAAGAATGTGAAATGTCAGAATAATAGTGGAGAAAATGATTTATTTCAGCTTTTATTTCTTTCATCACATTCCCAGTGGGTCAGAAGATTACATACACTCAATTAGTATTTGGTAGCATTGCCTTTAAATTGTTTAACTTGGGTCAAACGTCTCAGGTAGCCTTCCACAAGCTTCCCACAATACGTTGGGTGAATTTTGGCCCATTCCTCCTGACAGAGCTGGTATAACTGAGTCAGGTTTGTAGGCCTCCTTGCTCGCACACGCTTTTTCAGTTCTGCCCACAAAATGTCTATAGGATTGAGGTCAGGGCTTTATGATGGCCACTCCAATACCTTGACTTTGTTGTCCTTAAGCCATTTTGCCACAACTTTGGAAGTATGCTTGGGGTCATTGTCCATTTGGAAGACCCATTTGCGACCAAGCTTTAACTTCCTGACTGATGTCTTGAGATGTTGCTTCAATATATGCACATAATTTTCCTTCCTCATGATGCCATTTATTTTGTGAAGTGCACCAGTCCCTCCTGCAGCAAAGCACCGCCACAGCATGATGCTTCCACCCCCGTGCTTCACGGTTGGGATGGTGTTCTTCGGCTTGCATAATGATGGTCATTATGGCCAAACAGTTCTATTTTTGTTTCATCAGACCAGAGGACATTTCTCAAAAAGGACAATCTTTGTCCCCATGTGCAGTTGCAAACCGTAGTCTGACTTTTCTATGGCGGTTTTGGAGCAGTGGCATCTTCCTTGCTGAGCGGCCTTTCAGGTTATGTCGATATAGGACTCGTTTTACTGTGGATATAGATACTTTTGTACCTGTTTCCTCCAGCATCTTCACAAGGTCCTTTGCTGTTGTTCTGGGATTGATTTGCACTTTTTGCACCAAAGTACGTTCATCTCTAGGAGACAGAACGCGTCTCCTTCCTGAGCGGTATGACGGCTGCGTGGTCCCATGGTGTTTATAGTTGCGTACTATTGTTTGTACAGATGAATGTGGTACCTTCAGGCGTTTGGAAATTGCTCCCAAGGATGAACCAGACTTGTGGAGGTCTACAATTATCTGAGGTCTTGGCTGATTTCTTTTGATTTTCCCATGATGTCAAGCAAAGAGGCACTGAGTTTGAAGGTAGGCCTTGAAATACATCCACAGGTACACCTCCAATTGACTCAAATGATGTCAATTTGTTAGATTAATTTGGATTTTAAGAATAATTACTAAAGGGTTTCACCCCAAACACAGTATAAATATTAGAATTATCATGTAGTGTCAACCCACTAACAGAGGGGGCGGTACTAACCATTCAAGGGGGAAGGCGGAAACTGTTTAGAAAAGTCACCTAAAGGTGGGAGGAGTCAAGTCCAGGAGGTATAAAATCGTCTGTTTGTGTCATTTGCAGGAGAGCTCTCGCCATGAATAAAAATACAGATAAGACTTGTGAGTTGTGGACCTTGAATCATTGATGATTAAACCCAGAGCCTTACAACCTCTGGTAATGATTCAAGCTTAGGGTGAATTGTGGTCCTCTGTAGCTCAGCTGGTAGAGCACGGCGCTTGTAACGCCAAGGTAGTGGGTTCGATCCCCGGGACCACCCATACACAAAAATGTATGCACACACGACTGTAAGTCGCTTTGGATAAAAGCGTCTGCTAAATGGCATTTTTTTTTTTTTAATTATAATTAGAGATAGAAATTCACATGACACAATTAGCCTATCAGAAGCTTCTAAAGCCATGACATCATTTTCTGGAATTTCCAAGCTGTTTAAAGGCACAGTCAACTTAGTGTATGTAAACTTCTGACCCACTGAAATTGTAATACAGTGAATTATAAGTGAAATAATCTGTCTGTAAACAATTGTTGGAAACATTACTTGTGTCATGCACAAAGTAGATGTCCTAACCGACTTGACAAAACTATAGTTTGTTAACAATACATTTGTGGAGTGGTTGAAAAACAAGTTTTAATGACTCCAACCTAAGTGTATGTAAACTTCCGACTTCAACTGTACATATGAGACACCAGCGCAAGAGTAACAGGTCAAACCACAAACAGACTAAAAACAAAAGTGTCTAGGCAACAGGTTTCACAATGCCTGCTTGAATATGCAGAACAATATCTTCAGGCTACTGGTGTATCTGGTAAGGTACACAAAGACGTACTTTTCACATCTAGCTTTGTAGCTCAGGAAGAAGAATAGTTAAGAAAGAAAGTTCAAGTGTGAAGTGAATTCTACCTAGGAATATGCTTAGGATTGACTATGAGTATGAATGTTGCATAAATATGATTCGTTTTCTCTGATGTATTAACTTTGACTATATCAGCCTAAAACTGACACAACAAAGGCAATGTAAAGGAGAAAAACAACAAGATGGACTGCAGTCAAAGAAAGCGAACTTACCTTAGGAAGGGTTCAAGGTAGGAAGGAGAGATTGTGACGCTGTCATGAAAAATGCACGTTTAGTTCTCTTTTTACTTCCAAATATTTACCAAACTCTACATAACAATTTACATTCCTACCCGGATGAAATCAGTAGCGGCGAGGCTGATTCGACTTTTGAAGTTTCAACGAGGGCACTGTCCCTTTAGAGACTCCGGAGTAATTTACACACTAACAGCCCCGTCTGAGCTACAGAGGTAGACCTTCCTATCTCCCAAGCCCCGCCCATCCCGGGTGGGATGTCAAATAAGATTGTGAAAACTATTTGAAATACAAAACAACACACAAGCAACATTGTAGTGTCACGATCGTCGAAGGAGGAGGACCAAGGCGCAGCGTTGAAGGCAAACATACTCTTTTTATTAATAGTGATAACACGAAACAAAACAACAAACGATACGTGCAGTCCTACGGTACAAACCAAAAGGAACAAGATCCCACCACTACTGTGGGAAAACAGCCTGTCTAAATGTGGTTCCCAATCAGAGACAACCAGCAACAGCTGACACTCGTTGCCTCTGATTGAGAACCACTCTGGCCAACATAGAAATTCAACAACTAGAATCTACAACACAGAACACCAACACATAGAATCTACACACCCTGGCTCAACATATAGAGTCCCCAGAGCCAGGGTGTGACAGTACCCCCCCCCCAAAGGCGCGGACTGCGACCGCGCCTAAACATAAACCAAACAGGGGAGGGCTGGGTGGGCATTCCTCCTCGGAGGCGGTTCCGGCTCCGGGCATGACCACCACCCCTCAACAATCCCCCCGTAGCGCCCCTGGTCCGGTCTAGCCCCGCTGGCTGGACTTGAACTGGACGTCGGTGGAGCGGATTGCTTGGGCTCCGATGTGGAGCTGATGACCGGTACCTGACCAGGTACCGGTGACCCAGGCACAGGTTGTGCCGGACTGACGACGCACACCACAGGCTTGGTGCGTGGAGCAGGAACGGGCCGGACCGGGCTGACGACGCGCACCCCTGGCTTGGTGCGTGGACCAGGAACGGGCCGGACCGGGCTGACGACGCGCACCCCTGGCTTGGTGAGTGGAGCAGGAACAGGCCGGACCGGGCTGACGATGCGCACCCCTGGCTTGGTGCGGGGAGCAGGAACGGGCCGGACCGGGCTGACGCCGCGCACCGTAGGCTTGGTGCGTGGAGCAGGAATGGGCCGGACCGGGCTGACGACGCGCACCGTAGGCTTGGTGCGAGGGGCAGGAACAGGCCGGGCTGGGCTGGCGACGCGCACCGTAGGCTTGGTGCGTGGAGCAGGAATGGGCCGGACCGGGCTGACGACGCGCACCGTAGGCTTGGTGCGAGGGGCAGGAACAGGCCGGGCTGGCGACGCGCACCGTAGGCTTGGTGCGTGGAGCAGGAATGGGCCGGACCGGGCTGACGACGCGCACCGTAGGCTTGGTGCGAGGGGCAGGAACAGGCCGGGCCGGGCTGGCGACGCGCACCGTAGGCTTGGTGCGAGGGGCAGGAACAGGCCGGGCCGGGCTGGCGACGCGCACCGTAGGCTTGGTGCGAGGGGCAGGAACAGGCCGGGCCGGGCTGTGGAGACGGATTGGAGGCCTGGAGTGAAGAGCTGACACAACCCGTCCTGGCTGAATGCCTACCTTCACACACTCTGTGTGAGGCATCAGCACAGGACGTACAGGGCTGTGTACACGTACTGGCATAACAGCACGTGACACTGGCGCAGGATATCCGGGACCGAGGAGGGGCACTGGAGGCCACGAGCGCTGAGCCGGCACACTCCGTCCTGGCTGCATGCCCACCTTCGCACGACACGTGCGGGGTGCTCGCATAGGACGTACCGGATTATGCCGGACCACTCGTGGCACAGTACGCAGCTCCGCATACCCCGGAACCTGCCCAGTCTCACGCTGCCATGCCTGAGTACGGGGAGTTGGCTCTGCTCTACATCCAGGCTCTGCCAACCTGCCTTCCGGCCCCCCAAACCCGGTGGCCTCCTCTCCTAATCCCCAAACTCGACCTGTAGCTGCCTGCAGCAGCCCCGTCATCCATGCAGTGTGCCCCCCCCCCTAAACATTTCTTGGGGGTGCCTCTCGCCTGTCCGACCACGGCCCGGTTGGCGCCGCTTCTCCTCTCCTGCCTGGGTCTCCCCCTTCATAGCCCTCCGGTACCGGACGGCCTCCTCCTCCGTAATCTGCCCCCAACCGAGGAGGACATCCACTAGAGTTACCTCCTGCGTGTGCTCCTGGACACGCTGCTTGGTCCTGTTGTGGTGGGATCTTCTGTCACGATCGTCGAAGGAGGAGGACCAAGGCGCAGCGTTGAAGGCAAACATACTCTTTTTATTAATAGTGATAACACGAAACAAAACAACAAACGATACGTGCAGTCCTACGGTACAAACCAAAAGGAACAAGATCCCACCACTACTGTGGGAAAACAGCCTGTCTAAATGTGGTTCCCAATCAGAGACAACCAGCAACAGCTGACACTCGTTGCCTCTGATTGAGAACCACTCTGGCCAACATAGAAATTCAACAACTAGAATCTACAACACAGAACACCAACACATAGAATCTACACACCCTGGCTCAACATATAGAGTCCCCAGAGCCAGGGTGTGACATGTAGGAGCTATTTATCATGTTTTGTGTTCTATTTATTTAATTCCCTATATTTGCAATGAATAAAAACAATGTAGAGTTCAGTTTATATGTCTACAGACATACATATAAGATATTGAGGTGTACACAGTCCATTTAAAATCAAAGAACCCTTTACTTTTCTGGTAATAGCCTACAAACAGTCATTTTAAGTGTTACACCAAGAACCTGGGTGTTACATATTCGTATTAGCCATTATCCACCATAAAGCCATTGATGTATGCTACAATATCTGCCAGTAATTTATAGATATGGAAGGGGGATTATCTTTGTCTTGAGCATGGTTCCACTGCATGTGCCTTTGCTAAATGGTGTTTGTAGCTGGCTTAATGAATGTTTTTTTAATTAGTCTGAATGTACAATCACATCTTTTTCAGTGCAGCAGAGGAGGCCTCTGACTCAGCACACATGCTACAAATGGACTTTACTGCAGGGTACATTCAGCACTCTGCCATGGCTTGGATGGGCAGTCGGGGAAAAGGTGTGTTTCTATGACTAAGTGGTTTTATGTAACATTGACAAACTTGAAAGATGCACTATGAAGAAATCGCTCTGCCATTTCCTGATTGCTAAAATTGTAAAAGTTCGCCTAATTTCAGTTTATGTTACCAAACAAGCAATAAGGAAATGTAAAGAATTATTGTAACATCTAAACCGCTGTGAAATGTATTTTCAATAACCAAAAATATTGTATTTTCAACCTTTTGAAGCTGGTGTAAAAAAAACGAAAGTAAAAGACGCAAAAACTAAACTTAAGAACCGGAAGCATAGAAATAGTGCACATACAACCGATCTACCGCTTCATAGACTTGCTTTCAATGATAATGAAAGATCTGTAACTCATGTTTATGTGCATTTGGTCAGGCCGCCCAAAAAGTTACATATTGCAGCTATTACAGAGATGTTGAACTGTAAAGATCTTTGACTGAAGCTCATTGTGGCATTATACTCAGCTCATTACATAATGAGACTTGTTGTAAGCGCTCTAACGCTGGTTGCAACCTGGACTCAGTGGTAGACGTAACACAGTAAACGAATTTCCGGGACAGTCAAATTAGTATGTAATGTTATGTTTGGTATGGTACATTCACTATATATACAAAAGTATGTGGATACCCCTTCAAATTAGTGGATTTGGCTATTTCAGCCACACCCGTTGCTGAAAGGTGTATAAAATTGAGCACACAGCTATGCAATCTCCATAGACAAACGTTGACAGTAGAATGGCGTTACTGAAGAGCTCAGTAACTTTCAACGTGGCACCTTTCAAACGAGTCAGTTCGTCAAATTCTTCCCTGCTAGAGAAGTCCCGGTCAACTGTAAGTGATGTTGTTGTGAAGTGGAAACATCTAGGAGCAACAACGGCTCAGCAGCGAAGTGGTAGGCCACACAAGCTCACAGAACGGGACCGCCGAGTGCTGAAGCACTTAGCGCTGTCCTCGGTTGCAACACTCACTACCGAGTTCCAAACTGCCTCTGGAAACAACGTCAGCACAATAACTGTCTTCTGGAACTTCATGAAATGGGTTTCCATGGCCAAGCAGCCGCACACAAGCCTAAGATCACCATGCGCAATGCCAAGCGTCGGCTGGAGTGGTGTAAAGCTCACCGCCATTGGACTCTGGAGCAGTGGAAACGCGTTCTCTGGAATGATGAATCACGCTTCACCATCTGGCAGTCCGACGGACTAATCTGGGTTTGGCGGATGCCAGGAGAACTGTACCTGCCCGAATGCATAGTGCCAACTGTAAAGTTTGGTGGAGGAGGAATAATGGTCTGGGGCTGTTTTTCATGGTTCGGGTAGGCCCCTTAGTTCCAGTGAAGGGGAAAAGGCTACAGCATACAATGACATTCTAGAGGATTCTGTGCTTCCAACTTTGTGGCAACAGTTTGGGGAAGGCCCTTTCCTGTTTCAGCATGAAAATGTCCCTGTACACAAAACAAGGTCCATACAGAAATGGTTTGTCAAGACAGAGCCCTGACCTCAACCCCATCGGACATCTTTGGGATGAATTGGAACGCCGACTGTGAGCCAGGCCAAATCGCCCAACATCAGTGCCCGTCCTCACTAATGCTCTTGTGGCTGAATTGAAGCAAGTCCCCGCAGCAATGTTCTAACATCTAGTGGAACGTTTCCCAGAAGAGTGTAGGTTGTTATAGCAGCGAAGGGGGGACCAACTCCATATTAATCCCCATGATTTTGGAATGAGATGTTCAAAGAGAAGGTGTCCACATACTTTTGGTCATGTAGGCTTTATACAGTGCATTGGGAAAGTATTCAGACCCCTTGACTTTTTCCACATTTTGTTACATTACAGCCTTATTCTAAAATGGCCCAAATAAAAATAAAATCATCATCAATCTGCACACAATACCCCATAATGATGAAGTGAAAACAGGTTTATAGACATTTTTACAAATGTATATATATATATATATATATATATATATATACCTTATTACATAAGTATTCAGACCCTTTGCTATGAGACTCGAAATTGAGCTCTGGTGCATCCTGTTTCCATTGATCATCCTTGAGATGATTTTACAACTTGATTGCAGTCCAAGTCCACCTGTGGTCAATTCAATTGATTAGACATGATTTGGAAAGGCACACACCTGTCTATATAAGTTCCCACAGTTGACAGTGCATGTCAGAGCAAAAACCAAGCCATGAGGTCGAAGGAATTGCCCGTAGAGCTCCGAGACAGGATTGTGTCAAGGCACAGATCTGGGGAAAGGTACCAAATAATGTCTGCAGTATTGAAGGTCACCAAGAACACGGTGGCCTCCATCATTCTTCAATGGAAGAAGTTTGGAACCACCAAGACTCTTCCTAGAGCTGGCCGCCCGGCCAAACTGAGCAATTGAGGGAGAAGGGCCTTGGTCAGGGAGGTGACCAAGAACCCGATAGTCACTCTGACCGAGCTCCACAGTTCCTCTGTGGAGATGGGAGAACCTTCCAGAAGGACAACCATCTCTGAAGCACTCCACCAATCAGGCCTTTTATGGTAGAGTGGCCAGACAGAAGCCACTCCTCAGTAAAAGGCACATGACAGCCCGCATGGAGTTTTCCAAAAGGCACCTAAAGGACTCTCAGACCATGAGAAACAAGATTCTCTGGTCTGATGAAACCAAGATTGAACTCTTTGGCCTGAATGCCAAGCGTCACGTCTGGGGGAAACCTGGCACCATCCCTACGGTGAAGTATGGTGGTGGCAGCATCATGCTGTGTGGGATGTTTTTCAGCGGCAGGGACTGGGAGACTAGTCAGGATCGAGGGATAGATTAACGGAGCCAAGTACAGAGAGATCCTTGATGAAAACCTGCTCCAGAGCGCTCAGACTGGGGTGAAGGTTCACCTTCCAACAGGACAACGACCCTAAGCACACAGCCAAGACAACGCAGGAGTGGCTTCGAGACAAGTCTCTGAATGTCCTTGAGTGGCCCAGCCAGAGCCCGGACTTGAACCTGATCTCTGGAGAGACCTGAAAATAACTGTGCAGCGACGCTCCCAATCCAACCTGACAGAGCTTGAGAGGATCTGCAGAGAAGAATGGGAGAAACTCCCCAAATACAGGTGTGCCAAGCTTGTAGTGTCATACCCAAGAAGACTTGAGGCTGTAATCGCTGCCAAAGGTGCTACAACAAAGTACTGAGTAAAGGGTCTGAATACTTGTGATATGTGATATTTATAAAACCCTGTTTTTGCTTCGTCTTTATGGGGTATTGTGTGTATTGAGGGGAAAAAACAATTTAATCCATTTTCGAATAAGGCTGTAATGTAATAAAATGTGGAAAAAGTCAAGGGGTCTGAATACTTTCCGAATGCACTATATATATATATATATATATATATATATATATATATACACATATATATACACACACACACACATATATTATATTTTCACCAGCTGAGCTTTGAGCCCTAATGTCAGTATACCGAACTGTATCACAGATCACTAATTGGCTGCTTTGTGACCGTTTTCGATGCCACATCCAAAGCCAACCCCACCCGTGGTACAGAGCTTCCTGTCTTCCTGTCTGTGCTCATCTCTCCACGAAGGTGATGCTGCTAATTGTTTACCTGCACATCCTTTGTCATGAACATTGGTAGATACCAAGTGTTCTTAGGGCCAACCTGGTCTCAGAGCATTTTATATTATTCTGTATGTAAATCCGAGACACTCCACTTAGGATGATATGTTACGTTTCGTATGGTATGTATTAATTTGTGGATGTCCATCACCCATTTCATATGATATGTTACGAATTTGCAAAATATCCAATATGTTACAAAATTGCAAAAACATTGAATATGTTACGAATTTTCAAAATGTATGATGTTATGATTCCAATTTGTTGTGGGTAATGTTAGCTAAGTGGATAACATTAGCCAGCTGGCTAACGTTTGCAATGCTAGGGGTTAGGGGTTAGGGATAAGGTTATGAGTTAGGTTAAAGGGTTACGGTTAAGGTTAGGGAAAGGGAAAGGGTTAGCTAAAAGGATTAAGGTTAGGTTTAGGGTTAGCTAACAACATGCTAAGTAGTTGCAAAGTAGCTCAAAAAAACTTGTCCGTGATGAGATTAGAACACGCAACCTTTGGGTTACTAGACGTTCGGGTTATACGCCCGACTAACCTCCCTCCATTAGTTTTTGCCTTAAGTAACCGGTCTTATGTAACCATACCAAACTGTAACAAATCATACTAATTTGAGTATCCCGGATTTACATTTACTATGTTACATCTAGTCTATGAGACCAGGGCAGGCAGACTTAATCATTGTGCATGGTGGCAATGATAAAATGGCAACAATTTAAATGCTTATATTGTCCTGTTAGACATCTGTTTCCTTGTCAACTCTACTCACCTCCTTTTCCATCATTCCATCAACTTTCCTCTCCTCCTTTCAGTGTCTAGTAAATCACGGCAGGCGGTTCTTGATCTTTCCATTGGTGGTGTCAGAGTATTCATAGCCCTCCCACTGTGCGGTCGTCACTAGTTACCACAGCCACAAAGTCATAAAGCCCGCCTATTAAGAAGAGTGATTTTCAACCTAACCTTAATCACACTGGTAACCTTAAGCCGAACCCTCACGTTAAATTAAGACTAAAAGCCCATTTTTGTTTTCATTAATTTTTACGATATAGCACAGCCACAAAGAGCGTCTGCTGAAATGTAGATAGCCAATTTTGACTTTGTGGCTGTGCTAGAGCGACTTACAGTTAGTGAATGCATACATGTTTTTTTTCATACTGGCCCCCCGTGGGAAACGAACCCACATCCCTGCCGGCCAAACCCTCCCCTAACTTGGACGACGCTGGACCAATTGTGCGCCGCCCATGGATCTCCCGGTCGCGGCCGGCTGCGACAGAGCCTGGACTCGAACCAGGATCTCTAGTGGCACAGCTAGCACTGCGATGCAGTGCCTTAGACCACTGCACCACTCGTAGGTGGGGTAGAAAACCCCATTGTGCCTGTTTGTATAAGAAACGACCTATCCTGTCACCTGTGACCCCAGTAGAGCCTTTAGTACTGGTGTTTGATGGATCTGAACCATATGTGTGAAGCCTTTCCCTCATTTATTTAATACTATCGTTTTTCTAAGGATACACTCTAAAAAGAAAAGGTTCCTGGAGTATCCTTTAGGGGTACTTCAAATTGAAAATGTAGGCCAACCCCTATAAGTTCTTTGAAGAACCCTTTAAAAGGTTCTTCAAATAACCCCTTTTAATGGATCCTCAAATAACCTTTTGAAGAACCTTTTGGGGTTCATTTTTGAACTACCCCCCCTCCCCTCCCCTGTTATATGCATAACAATTACAACAACAATAATAATAATAATTAATAATAATAATAATAATAATAATATGCCATTTAGCAGACGCTTTTATCCAAAGCGACTTACAGTCATGTGTGCATACATTTTTACGTATGCACCATATATATTTACAATAACACCATATTTGAGTTGTCAGTGTTTATTATGATTTTAGTGGCAAAGCAGAATTTAAAAATCCAAAGGTAAACTCCCAGCAGAGCCCAAGTGCAATGGGTATATCCTCTGGCGTGTTGATGTTAATGTGTTGATGTTCTCCGTATCCATAGCCAGAATGATTTTGCAGTGGTTTTTGTGGTAAATGTGAATGAAAAAAACTGTTTTGATAATGCTTTTCATACACATACCTTGTCCATAATGTAGAGGCCTATGGGATATTCAATGAAGAGGTAAGGGAGGAGGATGGTTCATGTGATCTGCATAACATACCAATACCAATTGACATACCTTTGTATGCCTCCTTGTCTGTATACCTGCAGACACAGACACAAAAGAGGGCAGTTCAGTCATCTGCACCCAATACAGCTAGCCTTCAACATATTCTTATAGCCTACATATTCTTACCTCTTTGTTGATTGATATAATATAATATGCCATTTAGCTGACGCTTTTATCCAAAGCGACTTACAGTCATGTGCGCATACATTTTTACGTATGGGTGGTCCTGGGGATCGAACCCACTACCCTGGCGTTTACAAGCGCCATGCTCTACCAATTGAGCTACAGAGGACCACAGAGGATATCCATGGAATGTTGTAAATTTTCTGTTTTAGAAAGATTAGCACAAATATGAAAAGATAGATTGTATCATCATAAAACAATATACATTTAGAACACACAAGGGACAAACCTTACCTTAAATTGAGACCTTTACATTTTTCAGTTAAGTGCCTGCACCTGCTGTCCTTTCAAATTCAAATCAAAATGTTTCAGTTGGGCAGTTAGGTTCCTGCAAGAACCCTCACCAACTAAGGTTCTTCGATTAACCCCATCTCCTATGGGGTTCTTGGAAGAACCCTTTGGGGGCAATCTTCAGTGCCAAGAACCTTAAGGTTCTTCTAAGAACTTCGAGGATCTTAGAAGAACCCTGGTTGAACCCCTAATTTTTAGTGTATGGAATATTGGAACATTGTTATAGCTCATCTATTTCAATTGATATGTCAATGATCATACAGTACCAGTTAGATACACAACTCAAAAATGACTTGTCCATCATACAGAACCTACCTATACAGACTGTAGTTATGTCAACATACTACAACCAAATCCAACCGCGCCATACGTCTGACAGTAATCTTCTTAACTCGCTGTCATTTCAGCACCATTAAATGCAGTAAGGCTGACTGGAAGGCAGGGATACTTTTAGCGTTAACCCAGACTCTTCATGTGGTTTTACCATCGCCTAAGTTTATTTACTTTTCATTATTTTATTTTGTATGGAATGAGAACGTTTTGAAACAATATATATCCTTTAATCCGAGTAATTTACCGTTTTCACGGCGTGTTTTATGCACCGGATTTGAAATGCATAATAATTGGTTAGGCGCCACCCGTTATTAAGTTTAACGACCAAAATACTGCCCTGGTATGTTATCTCTGTTGAGATTGTTGTGTTTTTACGCACTGGGACTGGGCTATGGGAAGCTTGTGCGTGGACAGGATGACAACCCGGATCCTGGAACCCGGTTCCTATGCCGAGCCATCGCCGTTGGCGCCGACACTTGTTTGGTCCCCGTAGTTCCGGAACCAAACCCGGCGGCTCAGGAGGAAGTGTTGGGGAACACAGTCATGCAGCTCCGGGAAACGGTTCTCCAACAGAAAGAGACGATAGTCAACCAACTTGGGACCATAAACGAGCTGACCACCAAGCTCTCCATCTGCGAGTCAGCCTCTGAGGAAGGGAAGTATGATAGTGGTGGATCTTGGAGTAAAGACAAAAATAATCAGAACACAATGGGAGATGTACCCAGAGATCCCAATGATACAATCGACAACCTCGGGAAGACCATGCAGAGTCTGAAGGACCGACTGGAGAACCTAGAGGTAAGGCGCGGGACAGTAACCATAAATTACTCTTTGGGTACTAAATCATGGAAAGGGAGTGCTGAAAATTATCGTTATCAGTGTGACTTAAATACATCTGAAATAGGCCTAATGTTGTTTTAAATTGTCTGCTTATTACGTCATTGAATCCAAAGTGGACGCCTGTTGCTGTGGTCAACTTTAAGTGGCCATTAATTTTGCTCCTATTTTGGCCTGCAGCCTATATGATTCTATTTTTGCAACAATGTGGAGGCGTACCCTAAATGGATTAGCCTTCTATCTCCTTTATCCTCCAGTGATTCAGTTCCCTATGTCACGCTACTCAACAAATGTCATATCACCTCTTAATAGTAACAGCTCATTCAAATGACCAAGGATATGATGTGTTTCTATAGATATTTAGCTCTCTTACAGAGCTATGTTTCATTCCAGATCAAAATACAATTTCAGTAAATCCAATCCTAGCTTGTATAAGTGTAGTACCATCTGTTAGCTTAAAGAGCTTCCCGGACCACAGGTAATCCACGTTAGGCCATGCAGTAAAAGTACATTAGGAACCAAATGCATTACGGTATCAAGCTCAACCACACAGTAGAAGGTGTTTAAGCTCATTATGCATTAACAGGCTTAGGAAACTGGTGAGACAATTGGAGAGATCCAATGTTCTCCATGAGTTACAATAAAGGGGCCAGAGTTTTCCCTAGTCAGGTCATGTGGCCAGGAAAACAACTCCTGGGCCTTCTGATAACATACTAGCCTACACACAGTGTGGGGGATTTCCACTCAGCCAATGATCTTTGAAAATTACACACATTAAAAGGTGACAAATAAAAGAGACAGGAAGCAGCACATCTCAGACATCAATACAAATTGACCTCTGACGTCTATCAACCTCCACAGACTGTCTGCGTTAACCTCCACTAATTGTATGTGACCATCTTGTATTGTCTCCACTTATTTAATTGTCTTGTGACGTCTCCATCTTGTCCCCGCAGCAGCAGCAGAGAGCCAACACGTCGGGAGCGTTGTTCCCCAGCGAGCTGAGAGACCTGCTGCAGCGCAGGCTGGGAGACCTGGAGAAACAGCTGCTCAGTAAGGTCAACAACCTAGAGGAAGAGAAGTATCTGCTCTACAACGAGACCACAGCCCACAGGCAGAAGACAGAGAGCGCCCTCAACTCCCTGCTGACCAGGATCAATGAGCTGGAGAAAGGTTAATCACTGCAAAAGGAAAGATATGACAGAGACACACAAGGACACATACAGACATACTCACGCACGCACAAAAGTATGTCTGTGTACACAATCAGATGACAGTAGTACACACCTGCATCACAAACAGGGAGACTCACACATTGTAAACACAATGAGTCATTCATTCATTCATTCAATCTACTATCAACTATCCCACTAACTGACCCAATCACTGCCGCTCACTTACTGTACCCCACTGCAGTAAATGACTGAGGCTTTAGATCAAATCTGACAAACATTGGCTTATCATTTTGTTCTCGTACTGTGTATAAGTATAGAGGTGACTTCATAGACAACTCTCCCATTGTTCTCTCTGTAGGTGGCGGTGGGTTCAAGTCCCCCGAGCAGTTTAAGCTTGTCCTCCCTCTGCGTACTAACTACCTGTATGGCCGCATGGCCAAGAGCCTTCCTGAGATGTACTCATTCACGCTGTGCATGTGGCTGCGGTCCAGCGCCGGCCCTGGCATAGGCACCCCGTTCTCCTACGGGGTGCCAGGACAGGCCAATGAGATTGTGCTCATCGAGTGGGGCAACAACCCCATAGAGCTGCTCATCAATGACAAGGTAAGGGCACTCTAAATTACTCAAGGATTCATAGTGATTCTTAGTATTGCTGATCTTTGAGGGAGAGCCTATCGTTATTGACAGGAGTCTTGGTTCTTGGTTTTAAATTAGATCTTTAATGAGGTTGCTGATTTGTAGTTTTATACCAGCTTTACCAAATCCTAACCTTCCTCCCTCTAATGTGTATTTCTCCTTTCTGTTTGTAAGCATCTGTACCTACCTTACACTCCTCTCCTATGTTACCTGTCCAGGTGGCTCAGCTGCCTCTGTCGGTGGGTGACGGGAGGTGGCAACACATCTGTATCACCTGGACCACCAGGGATGGTCTGTGGGAAGCTTACCAGGATGGTCAGAAGCTGGGGGCAGGGGACAACCTGGCCCCCTGGCACCGCATCAAACCTGGAGGAGCCATCATACTGGGGCAGGAACAGGTGAAGCTGCTGACTAGCACCCCCTATCTGTAGGATACACAATTACATTTAAAGTAAATGAACATTGTTTAGAGAAAGTACAGTAGAGACCAGTTATTAGGTTGAGTGAGTCAGGCTCATCCTGGTGGTCCACAGCGAATAGGAGGATGATGTTATTGTTGTTGTTTTTAACGAGGCCTGTCATTTATGGCCTCAACAGGACATGGTGGGCGGGCGCTTTGACGCCACACAGGCCTTTGTGGGTGAGCTGAGCCAGGTTAACATCTGGGACAAGGTCCTGAAGCCAGCCGACATCCTCACCATGGCCAACTGTTCCTCCTACACCCCCGGGAACGTGGTGTCCTGGCTGGACAGTGATGTGGAGGTGTTTGGAGGAGGAGCAGCCAAACTGCCTCTAGAGATATGCCAGGACCGGCTGTCTGAGACTGAGTCTTAGGATGGATGTCTGTCTGTGACGTGTTGAGAGTCATGTTCTGGATCTTGACGCCTACTGTACGTGCTACGTGTAATGCATTTAATGTGTTTTGTTTGGCTGTCTGTGTAAGGAAAGGCTGATTCCAGATGATTCTACTACACACAGATCCAGTTCTACACGCACACACACTGGCAAACACAGACTTAATGACACTGGATTTGGCATGTGAGGCTGGCTTAGGCTTGCGTGTGGCATGGGCAGTGTAAGGTACACATATTAGCCGTCCCAAGAATCATGTACAGTAACCTACGTCCCAGGACTGACAAACAGTAGCCTACGTCCCAGGACTCACGTACAGTAGCCTACGTCCCAGGACTCACGTACAGTAGCCTACGTCCCAGGACTCACATACAGTAACCTACGTCCCAGGACTCACATACAGTAACCTATGTTCCAGGACTCACGTACAGTAACCTACGTTCCAGGACTCACATACAGTAACCTACGTCCCAGGACTCACGTACAGTAACCTACGTTCCAGGACTCACGTACAGTAACCTACGTTCCAGGACTCACGTATAGTAACCTACGTCCCAGGACTCACGTACAGTAACCTACGTTCCAGGACTCACGTACAGTAACCTACGTTCCAGGACTCACGTACAGTAACCTACGTTCCAGGACTCACGTACAGTAACCTACGTCCCAGGACTCACGTACAGTAACCTATGTCCCAGGACTCACGTACAGTAACCTACGTCCCAGGACTCACATACAATAACCTACGTCCCAGGACTCACGTACAGTAACCTACGTTCCAGGACTCACGTACAGTAACCTACGTTCCAGGACTCACGTACAGTAACCTACGTTCCAGGACTCACGTACAGTAACCTATGTCCTAGGACTCACGTACAGTAACCTACGTCCTAGGACTCACGTACAGTAACCTACGTCCCAGGACTCACGTACAGTAACCTACGTCCTAGGACTCACGTACAGTAACCTACGTCCCAGGACTCACGTACAGTAACCTACGTCCCAGGACTCACGTACAGTAACCTACGTCCCAGGACTCACGTACAGTAACCTACGTTCCAGGACTCACGTACAGTAACCTACATCCCAAGACTCACGTACAGTAACCTACGTCCCAGGACTCACATACAGTAACCTACGTCCCAGGACTCACACACAGTGGGGAAAAAAAGTATTTAGTCAGCCACCAATTGTGCAAGTTCTCCCACTTAAAAAGATGAGAGAGGCCTGTAATTTTCATCATAGGTACACGTCAACTATGACAGACAAAATGAGAAAAAGAAATCCAGAAAATCACATTGTAGGATTTTTTATAAATGTATTTGCAAATTATGGTGGAAAATAAGTATTTGGTCACCTACAAACAAGCAAGATTTCTGGCTCTCACAGACCTGTAACTTCTTCTTTAAGAGGCTCCTCTTTCCTCCACTCGTTACCTGTATTAATGGCACCTGTTTGAACTTGTTATCAGTATAAAAGACACCTGTCCACAACCTCAAACAGTCACACTCCAAACTCCACTATGGCCAAGACCAAAGAGCTGTCAAAGGACACCAGAAACGAAATTGTAGACCTGCACCAGGCTGGGAAGACTGAATCTGCAATAGGTAAGCAGCTTGGTTTGAATAAATCAACTGTGGGAGCAATTATTAGGAAATGGAAGACATACAAGACCACTGATAATCTCCCTCGATCTGGGGCTCCACGCAAGATCTCACCCCGTGGGGTCAAAATCATCACAAGAACGGTGAGCAAAAATCCCAGAACCACACGGGGGGACCTAGTGAATGACCTGCAGAGAGCTGGGACCAAAGTAACAAAGCCTACCATCAGTAGCACACTACGCCGCCAGGGACTCAAATCCTGCAGTGCAAGACGTGTCCCCCTGCTTAAGCCAGTACATGTCCAGGCCCGTTTGAAGTTTGCTAGAGTGCATTTGGATGATCCAGAAGAGGATTGGGAGAATGTCATATGGTCAGATGAAACCAAAATATAACTTTTTGGTAAAAACTCAACTCGTCGTGTTTGGAGGACAAAGAATGCTGAGTTGCATCCAAAGAACACCATACCTACTGTGAAGCATGGGGGTGGAAACATCATGCTTTGGGGCTGTTTTTCTGCAAAGGGACCAGGACGACTGATCCGTGTAAAGGAAAGAATGAATGGGGCCATGTATCGTGAGATTTTGAGTGAAAACCTCCTTCCATCAGCAAGGGCATTGAAGATGAAACGTGGCTGGGTCTTTCAGCATGACAATGATCCCAAACACACCGCCCGGGCAACGAAGGAGTGGCTTCGTAAGAAGCATTTCAAGGTCCTGGAGTGGCCTAGCCAGTCTCCAGATCTCAACCCCATAGAAAATATTTGGAGGGAGTTGAAAGTCTGTGTTGCCCAGCGACAGCCCCAAAACATCACTGCTCTAGAGGAGATCTGCATGGAGGAATGGGCCAAAATACCAGCAACAGTGTGTGGAAACCTTGTGAAGACTTACAGAAAACGTTTGACCTGTGTCATTGCCAACAAAGGGTATATAACAAAGTATTGAGAAACCTTTGTTATTGACCAAATACTTATTTTCCACCATAATTTGCAAATAAATTCATAAAAAATCCTACAATGTGATTTTCTGGAGAAAAAAAATCTCATTTTGTCTGTCATAGTTGACGTGTACCTATGATGAAAATTACAGACCTCTCTCATCTTTTTAAGTGGGAGAACTTGCACAATTGGTGGCTGACTAAATACTTTTTTCCCCCACTGTACAGTAACCTACGTCTCCTGATGAAAGTCATTAAAGCCTTCTCCACCTTGACTGGAGATAGCCTGAGCAGATTTAGGGGAATATCCAATCAAACATGGAAGCAAGGTGACTGCTATGGTGAAGGTTTTCAATAACCTATAGCAGAGATGATGACGGACTCGTTTTGATCTTTGAGTTAGTGTTTGTTACCACTCCATAGTTACGTGTGGAAATCGGTGTTCTTGTACTTGTGGCATCATGTCTGTTGTACTATAATGTTGATAAGGTTTTATTATCCATTATTACCCATACTGTTTTCAATACCCCAAGTCCACCTCAATGCCTGCAGCAGTTTATATTGTTGTCTCACAAAACTGTTCTGTAATTATCCTCTTGTTCTTAGGGACACGTTGGTTTGTTTTGGTCTACAATGTCTGTGCAGTGGTAGTTTAAGAACAAAGAAAGTGTCATTTATATTGGAGCATTGTTACCATTAAATGTGTACATATAATTTTTCAAGCAGCTAAGAACAATTCATTATGTACGATATGAACAATACGTTCACGTGTATGAGGGTCTCTTTCCATGAAAACAATGTTGGGTGTGTGAAGTTATTTCATTGAGATACTGTATGTTGATTTTGCTCAAGAGACAATGTTTACTTTTCATGTGGCCTTTTGAGGATGTTGTGCCAGATGCGCTTTACGATGCTAACCATTGCCAAATTAACAAGTATGTGGAAAATTAAAAGGACAAATAAAACACTATTGAAAAGCAGTCTACTGTTTATATAGTGGTTACATTGCATAGACCAGTAGCTTTAACCAACAACGGGACAAGGCCTACGTGGCATTAGTAATGCTTAATTAAGACATGAGCAGCTCAAAGGTGGCGTCATTTAGGGACACTCCTACCTACCGACTCCTACAGACTAGTGTGAAAACATCTCCCTGACTCTCTCTATAGGAAAACAAATGGAATGTGGTATGTTTTAAATAGAAGTGGGCCAGGGTCAGTGTCCACTCAGTCTTCGCTGTATTCACGTTCTTGCAATGCAGTCGTGTGAAACTTATAAAAATCCTTCAATTTTTATTCTGTTCTACCAGAGGCTGTTTAGTTGAAGGCCAGTTTCTGGGTCAGGGTAACTAACATTACAAAAGTACAACTGAAGTTATTCGAATGATCTTGTAAAGAAACAACAGCCACAGATGTCGATTACCTAACAAATACACTGAGTGTATAAAACATTAAGAACACCTGCTCGTTCCATGACAGATTGACCAGGTGAAGGCTATGATCCCTTATTGATGTCATTGTTAAATCCACTTCAAATCAGTGTAGATGAAGGGGAGGAGACAGGTTAAAGAAGGATTGCTAAGCCTTGAGACATGGATTGTGTATGTGTGCCATTCAGAGGGTGAATGGTCAAGACAAAATATTTAAGTGCCTTTGAACGGGGTATGGTAGTAGGTGCCAGGCTCACCGGTTTTTGTCAAGAACTGCAACGCTGCTGGGTTTTTCACAATCAACAGTTTCCTGTGTATCAAGAATGGGAGAGAAACAAACAAACAAAAACATTTCCATTGGAACATTCTGTAATGTTCTGAACAATGGAGAATGTGGCCTGTTATTGTCACAGAAAAATGACTTATGTGCGAGTGAGTGTAATCATGGTCCCTTCTCATGTTTTGTGGTGGGAGGATGAGCAGTCGATGCTCGCTGCAGCTGATGGAACTGAAACGTTAAACAAAACAAACTGGTACACCGGCAGTTTCACAGAAACCTGCCTACATGGATACACAAGTACAAACCCCAACTTTAGCCTTTATTCTGCAAAGCACCTCATCTTATCAGTGCAAGAAACTTGGCAGTGTGGCTTGAAATCCTCCGTCTGGACAACCTGTAGGCCAAGGCGACAATCATAGAAGGTAACCACAGTGACTAATCAACACCAACTCACACTCAGCATGATGAGTATTGGCCTGGACAAGAATATAACAGGCAGGATAAAGTGCTTCTCTTTATTAATTAGGATACAGCACTTTAGACACTCATACGGATGTCCATCTGTAGTAGATAGCACCAGTGGCGATGTTAATGTCCAACAAGAAGTCACTCCTGTAAGGAGACCAACACAGAGTAGTACACGCCTCAGTAAAGTGCTGGAGTACATACATACTGCATATAGTAGTACCACAGTGGACAGGCCATTGGATATGTAGGTGTGCATCATGTATGTAAGATGTACAGCACAGGGACAATGGGATGGATTGGGCCCAGAGCCCAAAGGATGTATATCCTCATCTGCCACGACATGGATGCCAATAGGATGAAGTTGCTCCTAGACACAAATCTGGGGAAAGTTGATTCTAGATTTGAGCCTACGGGCAACTTCTACCTGGAACCGACCCTGCCCAGTTGGGGCTTGTTCCAGTGGGGTAACGGGGGTCAGGAGTGAAGGGTCAGGGGTGAGTTGAGGTCACGTAGATCCTGGTTGACCTCTGGTCTGGAGACTGCTAAAGTGGGCCTCCCTCAGAACACTGTTGATGTGGTCATAGGGGGTGCTGCCGCCATTGAGACTCAACGAGGAAATTGAAGGGTCTTCTGGCGAGGGACTGAGGAGACCCTGGGAAGTGCAGTTCTTCTGGCTCTGTGTACATGTGCTGGTGCTGGCTCCTCCCCCTGCCCTCTCAGGACTACTGATACCACTACTGCTGTCACTGCTGGACGACTGGAGCACAGACAGAAGAAAACAGGAAGGACTTACAGAAAATACTTGTTGCACAAACCGTCACAAGTGTGTGTGTGTGTGTGTCCTGTCACCTCAGAGTCCCAGACGTCTTGGCCCAGCTTGGACACCAGGGCGTGACCCTCCTGCCCCCCTCCTGACCTTTTGGCCTGGGGGTTCAGCTGGTCCCCCTCATTGTCTCCACCACGCCGACGCTTCCTAGACAGACAGACAGACAGACAGACAGACAGACAGACAGACAGACAGACAGACAGACAGACAGACAGACAGACAGACAGACAGACAGACAGGAGAGTAAACGTGAGAGTAAACATGAGAGAGTAAACGTGAGAGAGTAAACGTGAGAGAGTAAACGTGAGAGAGTAAACGTGAGAGAGTAAACGTGAGAGTAAACGTGAGAGAGTAAACGTGAGAGTAAACGTGAGAGTAAACATGAGAGAGTAAACGTGAGAGTAAACGTGAGAGAGTAAACGTGAGAGAGTAAACGTGAGAGAGTGACCGGATCAGAGACAGAGAGGAAGTTTGTGTCTGTTGTCCTGTGTGGCTCAGTCAGTAGAGCATGGTGCTTGCAACACCAAGGACTGTGAGTTCGATTCCCGCTGGGGCCACACATACATAACATGTATACTGTAAGTCGCTTTGGATAAAGGAGTCTACTAAATGGTATATATTGTTAGGCCAGTATTGAGAAAGTGGGTGTACAGTGCATTCGGAAGGTATTCAGACCCCTTCACTTTTTCCACATTTTGTTACATTACAGCCTTATTCTAAAAAAATATATATTTTTTTATAATCATTAGCAATCTACCCACAATACCCCATAATGACAAAGCGAAAAACCGTTTTTTTTTCCTAGAGCTGGCCGCCCGGCCAAACTGAGCAATCGGGGGAGAAGGGCCTTGGTCAGGGAGGTGACCAACAACCAGATGGTCACTCTGACAGAGCTCCAGAGTTCCTCTGTGGAGATGGGAGAACCTTCCAGAAGGACAATCATCTCTGCAGCACTCCACCAAATCAGGCCTTTATGGTAGAGTGGCCAGACGGAAGCCACTCCTCAGTAAAAGCCACATGACAGCCCGCTTGGAGTTTGCCATTAGGCACCTAAAGGACTCACAGTCCATGAGAAACAAGATTCTCTGGTCTGATGAAACCAAGATTGAACTCTTTGGCCTGAATGCCAAGTGTCACATCTGGAGGAAACCTGCCACCATCCCTACAGTATCATGCTGTAGGGATGTTTTTCAGCGGCAGGGACTGGGAGACTAGTCAGGATCGAGGGAAAGATGAACGGAGCAAAGTACAGAGAGATCCTTGATGAAAACTTGCTCCAGAGTGCTCAGGACCTCAGACTGGGGCGAAGGTTCACCTTCCAACAGGACAACGACCCTAAGCACACAGCCAAGACAATGCAGTAGTGGCTTCGGGACAAGTCTCTGAATGTCCTTGAGTGGCCCAGCCAGAGCCTGGACTTGAACTCGATCTCTGGAGAGACCTGAAAATAGCTGTGCAGCGACGCTCCCCATCCAACCTGACAGAGCTTGAGAGGATCTGCAGAGAAGAATGGGAGAAACTCCCCAAATACAGGTGTGCCATGCTTGTAGCGCCATACCCAAGAAGACTCAAGGCTGTAATCGCTGCCAAAGGTGCTTCAACAAAGTACTGAGTAAAGGGTCTGAATACTTATGTAAATGTGATATTTCAATTTTTTAATTTTTAATAAATTAGCAAAAATATCTAAAAATCTGTTTTTGCTTGTCATTGTGGGGTATTGTGTGTAGATTGATGAGGGGGGAAAATATTTTAATCAATTTTAGAATAAGGCTGTAACATAAGAACATTTGGAAAAAGTCAAGGGGTCTGAATACTTTCCGAATGCACTGTATGTGTGAGAGAGAGAACACCAAGTACCCAAAATAGAGAGAGGCTATCTCAGGCACAGCCTTATAGTTACAGGAGCAGACATGTGCTCAAATTATCAGCCATGGGTATGACAACTTATCTGGGAAGAAAACAACCATGTGAAATATTGTTCAAGTTAAACTGATATGCTGAGAGATCAATTAGCCTACTTGAGAGACATAAACAAATGTAACACTGGCCACTGAGGTCGATGGTAATTCAATAACTATACTATGCAACAAAGATAAATGATATAAAGAATGATAGTAAAAAGCTTTGGAGCACCTTCAATGAAATTTTGGGCAAAAAGGCAACTCCGCTCCATCATTCATTGAATCAGATGGCTCATTCATCACAAAATACACTGATATTGCCAACTACTTTAATAATTTTTTCATTGGCAAGATTAGCAAACTTAGGCATGACATGCCAGCAACAAACGCCGATCCTACACATCCAAGTATAACTGACCAAAATATGAAAGACAAGCATTGTAATTTGAAAAGGTGAAAAAAGTATTGTTGTCTAGCAACAATGACTAGCCACCTTGGTCTGACAACTTGGATGGTATGGTATAGCACTTCGAGATATTAGCTGATGTAAGAAGCAGGGACGGCTTGTTCAATAGGGCGATATGGGCGACGCACTGCCAAACGGGAAAAGGAAGGGATTTTTTTTCTAATCAATTATAAAAAAATAAAAAATAAAAAATAAATATAATTTTTTTAAATAAATTTATAAAAAATTATATCACGGCAACAGCAGTTATCAGTGTTCACGTCTGATCTGACAGCCACTAAATGTCAAATCAGGCTAAAGTCGTGCTTCAAATGGCCCCGCCCGTTTTTTGGGCGATTTCAGTCAGGTTGAAAATCGCCCAGAAGTCTCTCATAGCCTGTCATGTAAAATCTATTTTTTTCACATTTCAAAGCTTTCAATACATTCTCTATGGGTGTCTGTGGGCTTGCACTTACGCGCTTTCGTCATACATAACGTAACCACGAATGAACGTAACTAAGAAAAGACCAGGTAGCAGCCTCAATCAATTCACTACTACTATCAAAATGGCTAGGCTTCAGTCCAACTCGATTGTGTCTTTGAAAGAAGTTCCTTTTTGTCGGCGAACAAATTAAGATACATTGGCAACGAAACAATTAGGACCTCCCAGACCAAATTTAATAATTCAACAGGTTTCTACTAAAGGCGGAAAGTCCTACACCCGAGGATTTTCCAAAAATTGGTACGAACGAAAAAAGACATTGCCACTCACTCAACTGGATGACGAGGGATACAGGCTAGCTGTCCGCCGCCACAACGATGAGGTTAGTGTTGATAATCACAAGTTTACTGGATGTGGATATGGTGTAATAAAGGCAGTTTATTCAGAGGTAAATATATCTGGAATCGCGTTCACGGACCCGTTCGTCAAACTCTTAGGGAGCTATAAATTAAGCCCCATTACTTACCATATCAGATAAGAGAAATTGCTGCAGCTACATATATTTTACATCCTGGCCCTACATAGTTCACTATTTGCATCACTTACCAAAATATTACATGTGGTCATATATGCTTGGAAAGTGGAGATGCCATAGAACGTCAAAAAAGTAAACATTGCTGGAGACACATTGTCGTTTTGGAGAAGACATCGCGTTTGCTAGCGAAGAGATTTGTTGTGGCAAATGAACTTGGCCTGGGAATTGCCAGGAACCTCACGATAAGATATATGCATCAGCATTGCGAGTCTCATGATTCTATACGTATTGCGATTCGATACTGTGATTTTATTGCGCACCATATGTCTGTTGCAGAGGGATCAGAAAGCCATGAGAACGAGTTTTGATCAGTCATGGAAATAAAAGTGCTGAAAACTAATTGGCTCCCAATGTGAAAAGATTGAGAACAAGCTATGAAGGAACAATAATGGTGTTTTGGTGCAGGTACAGCCAACTAGCGCTAAAATATTGCGATATTGTCAATACAGTATATCGTAAAGTATCACTATGTAACTCGATTTATTTCACCCCAATCCCTCAAATTAACGGTAAATAACTGAATTGTTTGCCCCACATTTAGCTAAGATGATTAGCTAGCCAGCTAAAATGTTTTATTTAGTTAGCAGTCGCATCTACAATAGTTTACTGTCAATAACATGTCTCCAAAAATGACGTGGTGTCTCCAATTGTGTTGACATTTTACAATTGCAATGTGCATCCATGAGTATCCACTTTCTGTAGCTCAGCTGGTAGAGCATGGTGCTTGTAACGCCAAGGTAGTGGGTTCGTTCCCCGGGACCACCCATACACAAAAATGTATGCACGCATGACTGTAAGTCGCTTTGGATAAAAGCGTCTGCTAAATGGCATATTATTATTATTATTATTATTATCTGAAGAGAGCCCCGAAACATTGTGTGCAGACATTTTATGCAATAAATGAAGTAGGTTCAATCTAGTAGTTCTGATCTTCTGATTGGTCCTGATGAGTTGGGCGAGGTCACCTCCAGGCTACTGTCACTGTTGCATTGGCTCTGAGTCGGGTTCTCTGTCTTCAAATGTTCAGCCTAAGAGAGGGGATTTTTGTGTGTGTGTGTGTGTGTGTTTAACAGTGATGATGTGTGTGTGTGTGTGTGTTTAACAGTGATGATGTGTGTGTGTGTGTGTTTGTGTGTGTGTGTGTCCTCAGAGCAAGAACTCGTGAGTTGGAAGAACTGAGAGGCCTATGGCGTGGGTGTTGTCCTTGGCCACCTGCTGACAAGGCTGACAAGATAGGACCCTTTTGTCCATTGTTATTGGATAGGAACAGAACTTATAACCAGCTCCTGACCTAAATAGATCTTAGCACAACATTTTACTCAACATATCATATTCCATATTCACTATAACAAATATATTTACTACGACATTAGCAAGAACCGCCACATCCTCAGCCGGCTAATCCAGTGTGTGAAGTTTTGCGGAGTGTTTGAGTTAGCTTTGCGAGGCAAAGATGAAACTGAGGGCTCCACCAACCCTGGTAAGCCAACACTTTTGAGATCAGTCAATAAATGCTTCTGGTATTGACTTATATGCTGCCCCTGTCTTCATGTTGTTGCTGGACATATCTTTTTTTTAAATGTGTGTAGGTCACCTAAATCATCAGAAAAATTGCCCCTCCTGAGAATTTTTTCAGGAGCCGCCACTGGTAAGAAGGGCTATATAAAATAAAATTGATTGAAAATTGATTGATGGAAAATTACTGAGGATAATAGCGGACGATATTGCCACTCCTATTTGAAATATCTTAAATCTAAGCCTACAAGAAAGTGTGCCCTCAGGCCTGGAGGGTAGCAAAAGTAATTCCGCTATCCAAGAGAAATTGATGATAAAAAGATGTGGGAGCTGTTTTGTTACGACTTCAGTGCAGCTTTTGACATTATCGGTCAGTCTGCTGCTGGAAAAACGTATGTGATATGGCTTTACACCACCCTGCTATATTATGGATAAAGAGTAACCTATCTTCACAATCCAAATCCAGAACAGACTATGGGAGGCGCACAGTACTACATAGTACTCTATTCCACATCAGGTAACTGATGCAAGTAGTAGAATCTGATTTATTTATTTTTATATATAGACCTAATGGAACAGCGGGGATTGTGAAGAGACACACATGCTAACACACGCACACATGGATTTTGTATTGTAGAGTAGTGGCCTGAGGGCACACACTTAATGGGGATCCTTAATAAATAGAAATACAAATGAGGTATTTTTGTAAGAAAAACACTCACCTGTTTTCTGTCAACATTTGGGAGACGATTGTCAGTGGGTTGTTTTGGTTACAAAGAAGAAGTTGGCCCTCTGAGCACGTTTGGATGTAAAGGAAACGACTCCTCTCCCTCAGATTTTGGTCGAGCAAAAAATCTATTTTCGGACGTACAGCAGCGCTTTCCCCGAATTTATCGCACGAGCAGTCAGGGCATTCTGATCTCATCTGATTGCTAGCTTGTTGAATAGCCTCTCTGGTTAGCAAGGAAACAACCCTTGACTGGTTAGTCTTTAGCATGTAGCATTAACTGTCACTTTCCTAGTATGTATGCAGATTGTCAGTAAACAAGTTTACTTCTCGGTTAACGTCTCTTCGTCTCTCTCTGCTACCGTTTGCCGTTGTAAACTAGCTAGCTATAAACTACTTTAGCTAGCTAATCAGCTAGCATAGCAAGCTGGCTAAACTTAAACGAAACAAGCGAGAGATTTCTCCAATACGTCAATTTAACTCGAGTGTTGATAGTATTTGAGAACAGTCAAACTATTATTCGGTCTTGGTGAGATGACAGATCAGAAAGAATACAGTACAACGAATCCGAACAAGCTAGCGAGTGTTCTGCTGCTAGCAAAAAGACCTAGCTGAAAGTGTTTACATGACATTTGATGACGTAACGATCAAATAACCGGAAACCGACCGAATGCGCATCTGCAAACTCTACAGTAGGCTACATTTTGCATATATGAGGCAGTTACACTGTTAACTTGTCGCAGGTAAACAACCTTTTACTTATAGAAATATTTATATTTTCTATGAAATTCCATTATTGAGATGTAAGTTGTGTTTTATAACTTTATATGGGAACAGAATGTGCCTGGATTGTGTGGCCCCTAGTGATATACACTGTAATACTATCTACCTGGGTAGGTAAGGAATGGCTGTGTTACTGGTGGTTGCATGAGGAGGCATTTAGAAGTTATTTTTTATTCCTCCACCAGGTAGGGAATTATAGGGACTATTCTAAATCCCTAACTGGCACTTCATGTGTAAACTTGTCCCTCACCTTAAAGACAACAGACAAAAAGCAAATATTAAATATATTTTAGGAAAGTCAGGCTTTTAGTTTATTTTGCCTCAGCCCCACCCATAAACTTTGTCTAACCTGTGTAAATGCAGTCTTAGTCTCACCTGTCCCTGTGCCATAGAAGGCTCTGGAAGATGCCCTAAAGTACAGATATTAAACTCTGACCAATGCCAGTAGGAGGGAGCTACAGTGTCTAGGCCTTTTGGGCAACTTCATCATACTCTTACCTCACCTTATGTCACACTTGTGTCCTCTCCTCACCTCCACCTGGCTGCTCCACAGATGCAGGTGATCCAGCACCCTGCGGAGACACTTCGCACCGCCCTGGTGTCCAGCCGCTGTGACCTGACTGATCGCTACCGTAAGTACAGCCGAGAAGAGCGGAGGCTCCTGGAGGAGGGTCTCCACCCAGGGGATGGGTCCTTGTTCCAGCCCATCACTGTGCACTCTGACTCGGACTGGATCCCCTCGCACCAAGAGGAGCCGCAGGACTTCCAGAGTTTCTATAGCAACCCCTACAGCAGCATGCCCATCAAGGGTCACAGTACTATCTACATTCAGATCATCGGTCGGTGGGTCCACACTCTCTCTGTCTAAGCCGTCTCTCAAGCCCTATGGCCTATTAATACCTTTTACAGAGATACAGTTTCCCTGCAGTAGCAAAATCCTCTGAAAATAACAGTGAATCATTCAGGATGCCATTAGCTGGTGAGCCATGGACAACAAACACATTTGTGTGTGATTGAGCTGACCACTACTGTTGAGCCACACACAGCAGCTACTGTAAGCAATCAGAGTTAAGGGAGAAGTGGATTTAACTAAAGCTAAACGTCATGAGAGATAGAATATTTGAACTGCCACAGTTAAAGGCAGTGCATCAACCAATACAGAACATGCACAACTTGAACCTCTTGCACAGAGACATGCATGCACCTAGTTTGCCACTCTGTGCTCAAGAACAAGAACCACAAATAGGGCATAATAATATAATAATATAATATAATAGGGCATAATAATATAATATAATAGGGCATAATAATATAATAATATAATAGGGTATAATAATATAATATAATAGGGCATAATAATATAATAATATAATAGGGCATAATAATATAATAGGGCATAATAATATAACATAATAGGGCATAATAATATAATAATATAATATAATAGGGCATAATAATATTATAATATTATATAATAGGGCATAATAATATAATAGGGCATAATCATATAATAATATAAAATAATAGGCCTTAATAATATAATAATGTAATATAATAGGGCATAATAATATAATAATATAATATAATAGGGTATAATAATATAATAATATAATATAATAGGGCATAATAATATAATAATATAATATAATAGGGCATAATAAGATAATATAATAGGGCATAATAATATAATATAATAGGGCATAATAATATAATAGGGCATAAAAATATATTAATATAATATAATAGGGCATACTAATATAATATAATAGGGCATAATAATATAATATAATAGGGCATAATAATATAATATAATAGGGCATAATAATATAATATAATATTAGGGCATAATAATATAATATAATGGGGCATAATAATATAATAATATAATATACAGTGGCTTGCGAAAGTATTCACCCCCCTTGGCATTTTTCCTATTTTGTTGCCTTACAACCTGGAATTAAAATGGATTTTTGGGGGGTTTGTATCATTTGATTTACACAACATGCCTACAACTTTGAAGATGCAAAATATTTTTTATTGTGAAACAAACAAGAAATAAGACAAAAAAACGGAAAACTTGAGCGTGCATAACTATTCACTCCCCCAAAGTCAATACTTTGTAGAGCCACCTTTTGCAGCAATTACAACTGCACGTCTCTTGGGGTATGTCTCTATAAGCTTGGCACATCTAGCCACTGGGATTTTTGACCATTCTTCAAGGCAAAACTGCTCCAGCTCCTTCAAGTTGGATGGGTTCCGCTGGTGTACAGCAATCTTTAAGTCATACCACAGATTCTCAATTGGATTGAGGTCTGGGCTTTGACTAGGCCATTCCACGACATTTAAATGTTTCCCCTTAAACGACTTGAGTGTTGCTTTAGCAGTATGCTTAGGTTCATTGTCCTGCTGGAAGGTGAACCTCCGTCCCAGTCTCAAATCTCTGGAAGACTGAAACAGGTTTCCCTCAAGAATTTCCTTGTATTTAGCGCCATCCATCATTCCTTCAATTCTGACCAGTTTCTCAGTCCCTGCCGATGAAAAACATCCCCACAGAATGATGCTGCCACCACCATGCTTCACTGTGGGGATGGTGTTCTCGGGGTGATGAGAGGTGTTGGGTTTGCGCCAGACATAGCGTTTTCCTTGATGACCAAAAAGCTCAATTTTAGTCTCATCTGACCAGAGTACCTTCTTCCATATGTTTGGGGAGTCTCTCACATGCCTTTTGGCACCAAACGTGTTTGCTTATTTTTTTTCTTTAAGCAATGGCTTTTTTCTGGCCACTCTTCCGTAAAGCCCAGCTCTGTGGAGTGTATGGCTTAAAGTGGTCCTATGGACAGATACTGTGGAGCTTTGCAGCTCCTTCAGGGTTATCTTTTGTCTCTTTGTTGCCTCTCTGATTGATGCCCTCCTTGCCTGGTTTGGTGGGCGGCCCTCTCTTGGCAGGTTTGTTGTGGTGCCATATTCTTTCCATTTTTTAATAATGGATTTAATGGTGCTCCGTGGGATGTTCAAAGTTTCTGATATTTTTTTATAACCCAACCCTGATCTGTACATCTCCACAACTTTGTCCCTGACCTGTTTGGAGAGCACCTTGGTCTTCATGGTGCCACTTGCTTGGCGGTGCCCCTTGCTTAGTGGTGTTGCAGACTCTGGAAAGATTTAAATATACTGAGATCATGTGACAGATCATGTGACACTTAGATTGCACACAGGTGGACTTTATTTAAATAATTATGTGATTTCTGAAGGTAATTGGTTGCACCAGATCTTATTTAGGGGCTTCATAGCAAAGGGGGTGAATACATATGCACGCACCACTTTTCCGTTAATTTTTTGAAACAAGTTATTTTTTTCAATTCACTTCAACAATTTTGACTATTTTGTGTATGTCCATTACATTAAATCCAAATAAAAATCTATTTAAATTACAGGTTGTAATGCAACAAAATAGGAAAAACGCCAAGGGGGATGAATACTTTTGCAAGGCACTGTAATAGGGCACCATACCAGTGCATTTCCTCGTTTTTCTTTCCTTCTGAGCCAGGTGCAAAAACCACAGAAACAGCATTCAGGGCTACAGTACAAACACCAGAATGTTCCATTGAAACCAATTGTTGGTGTGCCACAAAGCTATGTTGGAGAGGTGCTCCACCTAAATAAGGTCAAACATTGAGTGGTACTATTCAGCTATCCATCTCTCTGTGTCTTGTTTCCCAGGCTCCTTTGGGGAGGCAGAGGCTGAGACAGGCCAGTACGTGGAGTGGATAAGGGACTACTGCCAGGCCTTCTATTATGGGCTGGTGGTTAAGCTATTGCCTCCGGTGACCGTTGCTGCCACAGGCTGTGCGTTCAGGGTCAACAGCAGTTCACGCAATCTACAGATCCACGCAGGTGAGAGAAACCAGCTCATGACACCGGGTCAAGGACCAGGGTTCCCCTTTGTGGGGGATTGTCAGGTGTAATGAGGCCCTCAAATGGCCAATGTGGGTAAAAAAAAGAATAAATAAATGAAAGGTGGTTGTCATAATTTCTTTCAGGGGATTTGGTTCCTTAAGAAGAGGAAACCTAAAGATGCCTTCTGCATCTTGGGCATCACCATGATAGATCTCTACCCCAAAGACTCCTGGAACTTTGTGTTTGGACAGGCCTCCCTCACTGAAGGTGATATTTAATGTTAAAAATTAACGCACACACTTTAATGTAGTTGTATTCCTATAATATGGGATTATCCCATTGCTTGCACTGTACCAGATTTGTAAAGAAAGTTGTTATCTGTAATACTTCCTTAAATGTAATCCTGGAGACCCCCTGGCAAACACCATGCCAGGGGGTCTCCAGGATTACATTTAAGGAAGTATTACAGATAACAACTTTCTTTACAAATCTGGTGCTTTCCTTTAACTTGTTCTGACTCTAACTCTAACATACCAGTAGGTGGTGCTTTACATGCTGACTACACCGGGCACGCACGTGTGTCCGCATGCGCCATTACGCACATGTTGATTTTGTCCATCCAGACGCGATATTGTTTTTCAAATATCTGAACCAATATATTTATATGGTGACAGGTCAAAACACATGAAAAATGTATGGACATTTAGCTAGCTTGCTTGCTGTTGCTAGCTACTTTGTCCTGGGATATAAACATTGGGTTGTTATTTTAACTGAAATGCACAAGGTCCTTTTTTTCTGGATCTTTGTAGAATTTTCACCCATACTGAGTCAACAAAATCCTGTGTTCTATACTCCGACAATTAATCCACAAATAAAAGGGGAAACCTAGTTAGTTTCTAGTAATCTCTTCTTCTTCTTCTTCTTCTTCTTCTTCTTCTTTAGACTTTATATGGTGGTTGGCAACCAACTTTAAGGTGCATTAGCACCACCAACTGGACTGGAGTGTGGACCTCCGTTCATCTTTCAATCACCCACGTGGGTATGTGCTCCTAAAAACCAATGAGGAGATGGGAGAGGCGGGACTTGCAGCGCATCATGCGTAAAAAATAGAACCAATAACTATTTTAGCGCCTGGGCTACGCAGACACTCATTGACGCGCGCAAGCAGTTTGGATGAAATTATTGAATAGCATGAATGTGTACATTTATTTTGCAACGCTCGCGCACGCAATGCGGGCGGTGTGGTCATCATGTTACTCAAACAAAAATTATACATTGACTGAACATTTTCTTCCTGCAGGAATGGGAGTGTTCAGCTTTTACCAGGTACGATGACAACCTCTACAGCAGGAGTTACGCGGGGCGGCTAAAGAAAGGCATCAGGCCTTGTCAGAGGGACTACTCTGTGTTTGAGGGCTACTACACCCCTCCTATCACCAGCACCTTACTGCTCAGGTCCTGCAAGGTACATGCTACAGCCCAGAGTTATTGAATGGTGTCAGTTTCAGTATCAATCCCTATCGTCCTATTGGGTGGCATATCGAAATTAAGTCTGATATTTGGCCCTGTCTAGAAATGGATTGTTATTGGTTCAGTCTTATCCCTTACATTTATGCCTACCTGTGTTTGGCTCCAGATGGTCACCCATGAGATAGAGCACGTATTCGGGGTGAAGCACTGCCAGTGGATGCAGTGTGTCATGCAAGGCTCCAACTACCTGGATGAGTCAGGCCCTGTGTAGCTCAGTTGGTAGAGCATGGCGCTTGCAACGCCAGGGTTGTGGGTTCGATTCCCACAGGGGGCCAGTATGAAAATGTATGCACTCACTAACTGTAAGTCGCTCTGGATAAGAGCGTCTGCTAAATGACTAAAATGTAAAATGAGTCAGACCGCTGGCCCCTGGACCTTTGCCCGGTCTGCCTCCGCAAGCTGCAGTCTGCCACCGGATTCAAAATGGCTGACAGATACAAGGTAAGCACATAATTTGCATCGACTTTCATTCACTGTATTCTGTAGCCTGGTTGCCAGTCTATATCCCATACTACAGTATAATGGGGTGACTCTGGAGTGCCTATATCTCTTGTCTCTCTCAGACCTTGCTGCGATGGATAGAAGGAGCAGCTAGTCCTGGACAGCCCACTGTCCTAAACCCACTCTGGGCTTCCAGACCTCCAGACATTGGCTCAGGAGGTGTCTGGAGATTCTGGAGGAAGTGATATTCTAGAATCTCCAGATTTACCTATAGATTCTAGAATGGTCACACTCAGGAAATGGATATGATTTATGAATATACACTAGGATGAGATGAAGATCCTAGAATGGACATTTCTATTCAAAGCACTTTAATGACTTTACACATTATTGTGATATTTCTTTTTTATTAGTACCAAAATATCTTAGGATTCTCACAAGTGATTGCATTGTCTAAAAAATTTAAAGTGAAGATTAAAAAGTAATTGAATACAACAGTGTCATGATGTGTTGTTCTTCACAGCTGACTTCATAAATCTAAAAACGGGCCTCTACATATTCTTTGTATCCTCTCTTACAATACCATGAGCCAAAACAGTGTTTTCATGTTCATGGAAGCTTTAATACCATTGTTGTCCCAGTTTACAACAAATCTTGCAGTGTTCATTTCACCCCTTACATCCAGGATGTTCAGTTCGCCCTTTCCTTTGTTCAGTGTGAGTCACTGGAGGTATGAAACCTCTTCAGACTCCCGAAACCAGATCTGAAATCACAGGGTAGATAGTCCTTATCCATCCGTGTGCAGTCTAGATCTTTATTCACACATTTGTCTGATCTATCTCTATCACCACTAGTTTAATCGAGACTTCAGTTCAGACTGTCTGATTTACCTCAATCAGCACTAGTTTAACCGAGACTTCAGTTCAGACTCTTATGGGGTTTCCTTCTGACCTGTGTGATGTCTTTTCAAGTAGAGATTGTCATCGGTTGGCCTTTTTCTGTAACGTTTTCTCATCCAAATCAAGGTCAACTTCTAGGAAGTCCTGAGGACTGACTCTGTCCTGGGCCTCCTTCCCCTCTCGCTGAGGTACAGGGTTTCCCGGCCCCACCTGCAGGGGTTCTGGGAGGTTCTGAGCCCCCCTCCTGCTGCACAACCTGGTCTCAGAGCACTTCATATTATTCTGTAAGTAAAAACCCTAACCCATTTAGATAACCCTTCACCTAACCTTAACCCTTTTAGCTAACCCTAACCTTAACCCTTTAACCTAACTCCTAAACTTAACCTTAACCTTAACCCCTAGCCTAGCTAACGTTAGCGAGCTAGCTAACGATAGACACCTGGCCAACTAGCTAGAATTCGTAACATATCATACGTTTAGCAAATTCATAACATATTGTACGTTTTGCAATTTTGTAGCATATTGTACGTTTTGCTAATTCGTAACATAATAATACGAATTGTAATTCGTAACATATTATATGAAATGGGTGATGGACACCCACAAATTAATACATACCATTCAAAATGTAACATATCATAGTAAATGGAGTGTCTCTGATTTACATACAGAATAATACGAAATGCTCTGAGGCCTGGTTGTGCTGCAGCAGGGCAGGCCTCTCTTGGCTGGTCGTACCAGACCCAGGAACACAGCCCCCAGACCCATACCCACTGCACAGGAGTAGAACGCTGAGCCGTAGTTCTGAGTCAGGTCCACAAGAACACCTGAGAGAACACAATAGAAAATTCTATAAGTTAAACAAACTCATTTATTAAAATGATGCACAAATGAAGCAAGTTTGTGTTATTTTCCTTTGATGATAATGGTGGGACATATCAGAAAGAGAGAGCAAAAGAGACAGAGGGCTGTGAAAAAGATGTGATCTGTATGCATCTCTTACCTCCCAGAGGTGGTCCCGCCAGCCCAGCGAAGCTCTGTATAAACACATAGACCCCCACGGCCGACGGCATCCTCTCTATGCCCACCACATCCTCCTCTGCCAGCATGGGTATATGTGTCGACGACACGGTGCCTATAAAAAACCCATAGAACCCACAACACACCACCAGGCCCCAGAACTCCCACACCAGGGTAAAGGCCACCAGTACCAGGCACAGCAGAACTACACATCCCAGCAGCACCAGGGGCTTCTTGCCTCTGAACAGCTTCCTGCCTAGCACCCAACCAATGGAGAGGCGGCCGAAGATCTCGGTAAAGGCCATGGCGGAGAGCATGTAGGCGGCGCGGTCACGCTTCACGCCACGGTTCACACTCAGCTCGATGATGTAGAGCTGAGGGGCAAAGAAACCCAATGTGGCAAAAAGGCCGAAGAGAGCGTAGCAGATGAAGCTGCCTTCTCTCAGCATGGAGAAGTCAAGGAGTTTCTGGGGGGATACTGTCTGTGTCTGTTCCTCATCCTTCTCCTCCGTCTCCTCGTCCTTCTCCATCTCCTTCTCCTTGCTTCCTAAGCACCGCTGTGAAGACGCCTCCTCCTCCTCCTCCTCCTCCTCTTTCCCCTCGTTCCCCTTCACCTCCTCCCCTGCCTTACTGCCGTCCTCCAGGACCTGGTCCTCAGACTCTCCAGAGCTCAGGGAGTAACAATGAGCCAGCTTGTTATCCTTCTGCGGTGTGTAAGACCCATCCTTAGCATATGAACTGACCTTAGTGTACAACCTGTCCTTACTGTAGTACTCCTGTGTGTTCAGAGTATCCAGAGCCTTCAGCTCTTTGTCAGCCAGTCCATCTGTTTCTGTCTCCGTGGCTGGTCCAGGTCTGATGATGATGGGTCTTAGCAGAACTCCACAGATGATGATGATGCCTTGTAGAGCTCCAATCACCACCAGGGTGTAACGCCAGCCGATACGGTCCCTCAGAGCAGAGAAGGCTGAGGAGCAGAGAGGAGAACAGAGAGGAGAGCATTTGAAATACAAGACTATAGTGGTCAGGGTTTGCAATCCAACCTAAAATTAAATGCAGGTTAATGTGAAAAGAAAAAGCAATTGAGAGAAGTAAGATTAAGATAATGGGAAGGTTGCTAAACTGAAACATTAGCAGTTTTTTTTAAAGATACACTTTGCTAGCTAGTAAGCAGAGTGTTCTAGTCCCCTTGTGACCTTTTACCTGGGGCGAGGGCGAACACAGAGAAGGACTCTCCTGTGGAGGCGACAGCTGTGACCAGGGAGCGTCGGTGGGAGAAGTACTGGGACAGGAGGGTGATGGTGGGCAGGAAGGTCAGACAGTATCCCAGACCTGTGGAGGGGAGAGGACACACGCACACACACTGGTGACAACACTGGTGGCACTGTGAGAGTGATGGTCAATCGTGTGTGTGTGTGTTTGTTTCTAATACCTGCAACAAGTCCAATGGTGATGTACATCTCGTTGATGGATTTGGTGAAGCCACTGGCGATGGTTCCTATGGAGACGAGGAGTCCACCAATCATAACAACTGTCTGGAACCCAAACCGGTTGGTCATCACAGAAGCGAGAGGAGCTGAGAGGGGATAGGTACCTCTGGTTAGCACACTATAGCGCATCTGACCTTTTGTAGCTGAGAGTGATATCAAAGTGTTGTCACCTTTAAAAGCATTTATTTTGAGCTCCTGAGCCTTTCGTTCTAGCCCAGCACTGATTCAGTTGATCACAAATCTGATTATTTGAATCGATGCTGGGCCAGTAACAAAAGTCTGCACACCCTGCAGCTCTACAAAACCACCACAGCACTAGACCTTGATGCTGCCCCTAGTCTCACCAGTGAAGGCCATGACGAAGACACAGATGGAGATGATCCAAGAGACTCGGCTGTTGCTCTCCCCGAACTCCCCCATCAGGTCCTGGAGGAAGATGCCCAAGCTCTTGATGACTCCGTAGGTGAACATTTCCACCAGGAAGAAGGAGACCGCCACCACCCAGCCCCAGCCACCATCTGGGGGAGCCGTGTAGACGTTAGGCCCCATGTAGCGCTTCACTCTGGACCCCCACACTGTCATGGATGGAGCATGGGATGCTGTAGGGAAGGTGGGCAATAAATAACTTTTAGAAAAGGTATCGAAGTTCATAGAAAAGTAAAGTCAATTATGCTTGTGATTGGAACATAGGCGAAATTGGCAGGGTGGATATGCCCCACCCAATATTCAGAACAGGTCAATTTAAAATCAATAAAAATATTTTGGATGCACTGCACCTCCTCCGCTCAGCTGCACTGTCGACAGCCGCACTGTCTATACGCCCCTCTCCCACTAATTTCAGTATGCTGCTCAGCAGCCTTAGCCAAGCCAGCACTTGCCACACAGTCAGGCCGGCCTCATTCCACTTCAGATACACATGTATCTTCTGGAATGGAATGCGCCCCTCTGGTGGGGTGCCCCTTCCTCTCCCCTCCTTGAAAGAATAGCTTTTGCAAAAAACCCTTCTACCTCTTTTCGCAGCTTGACTCCACTGAGCAACAAGCACATCGCAAACACAAAGTTCCGAATCAGAAAGTAAGATTAGGTTAAGGTAGATTATCGATGTGTGATTTCTTGTTGTAAAGAAACAAAAGTTTTAGGATTACTTGATCCTATCCCAGGTATTCCTTAAAGAGGTGGGGTTTCAAATGTCTCCGGAAGGTGGTGAGTGACTCCGCTGTCCTGGCGTCGTGAGGGAGCTTGTTCCACCATTGGGGTGCCAGGGCAGCGAACAGTTTTGACTGGGCTGAGCGGGAACTATGCTTCCGCAGAGGTAGGGGAGCCAGCAGGCCAGAGGTGGATGAACGCAGTGCCCTCGTTTGGGTGTAGGGACTGATCAGAGCCTGAAGGTACGGAAGTGCCGTTCCCCTCACAGCTCCGTAGGCAAGCACTATGGTCTTGTAGCAGATGCGAGCTTCAACTGGAAGCCAGTGGAGTGTGCGGAGGAGCGGGGTGACGTGAGAGAACTTGGGAAGGTTGAACACCAGACGGGCTGCGGCATTCTGGATGACTTGTAGGGGTTTAATGGCACAGGCAGGGAGCCCAGCCAACAGCGAGTTGCAGTAATCCAGACGGGAGATGACAAGTGCCTGGATTAGGACCTGTGCCGCTTCCTGTGTAAGGCAGGGTCGTACTCTCCGAATGTTGTAGAGCATGAACCTACAGGATCGGGTCACCGCCTTGATGTTAGCGGAGAACGACAGGGTGTTGTCCAGGGTCACGCCAAGGCTCTTCGCACTCTGGGAGGAGGACACAACGGAGTTGTCAACCGTGATGGCGAGATCATGGAACAGGCAGTCCTTCCCCGGGAGGACGAGCAGCTCCGTCTTGCCAAGGTTCAGCTTGAGGTGGTGATCCGTCATCCATACTGATATGTCTGCCAGACATACAGAGATGCGATTCGCCACCTGGTTATCAGAAGGGGGAAAGGAGAAGATTAGTTGTGTGTCGTCAGCGTAGCAATGATAGGAGAGGCCATGTGAGGATATGACAGAGCCAAGTGACTTGGTGTATAGCGAGAATAGGAGAGGGCCTAGAACTGAGCCCTGGGGGACACCAGTGGTGAGAGCACGTGGTGCGGAGACAGCTTCTCGCCACGCCACTTGGTAGGAGCGACCGGTCAGGTAGGACGCAATCCAAGAGTGAGCCGCGCCGGAGATGCCCAGCTCGGAGATGGTGGAGAGGAGGATCTGATGGTTCACAGTATAAAGGGAACAGACAGGTCTAGAAGGACAAGAGCAGAGGAGAGAGAGTTAGCTTTAGCAGTGACACAGCAGTGACACAGAGAAGAGCAGTCTCAGTTGAATGACCAGTCTTGAAACCTGACTGGTTTGGATCAAGAAGGTCATTCTGAGAGAGATAGCAAGAGAGTTGGCTAAAGACGGCACACTCAATAGTTTTGGAGAGAAAACAAAGAAGGGATACTGGTCTGTAGTTGTTGACATCAGAGGGATCGAGTGTTGGTTTTTTGAGAAGGGGTGCAACTAATTGAGATGCAGTGCACTCCGCACCAGTGTTCATACCTCCCTGAATCGAGTTGCCTTCGTACAGCGCACCCCAGCCTCGGGGGGGATGTGTATTGGAAGAATAAGAGAAGATTATACTCACGACTTGCTGGTGTGGGAGCACAGCGTAATGACTCAATCATGATTTATGACATTTTTTTGGATGTCTGACCATTTGTGGGCTATCACAAGGGTCAAACACACCTTATCTGTTTCTTTCTCCGGGGAGGGACGTTCCTACAGAACCCTGGGAGCAGAGACACCGTTGGAGGCGTGAAAACAGATGAAAACGTGAAATCGATTAAATGAATGTTACTATGTGAATTACATTTTCATGTTTGGATTGTTTCAAAAGTTCATAAAGAGCTATGAATTTTGATATGTTTTATTGCACTGTAAGTGCTATGGATTTATTGTTACAGGGAAAATGTGTTATTCTGTTCGTCAGACTGTGGATAGTTCAAAGAGGAGTAACACAGGGGTGCGCTCCTATCATTTAAATTGAGTTGATTAGAATCTGTGTGTGCTTTCCTGTCTTTTGTTTTCACTAGCAAAGAAATGCAAAGAAATGTTAATTCAGGTTGGGGGTGAGTTTCTGCTTGAATTTGATTAAAAGGGCAGTGAATTTGTTCATACTTTGAGAACTTGCTACCAAGCTCCTGTTTTTTCTCTAAGAGATTATTCTGAACTGAAGACACATGTAACCACGTTAGGTCTTAGCCTATTGATGGTAGTCATTTACTCTAAGTAGTCTGTAATAGATCATGTATTTCATGTACACTGTAATTATTTGAGTGTTAATTATTTCGTGACTAATAAATTCCATTAGTTGAATTGAATAAATCCATTCCTTGTTTTACAGAGTAATTATTTGACTATACGTTTATAATTTAGTAGGTCTATTGCTAGTTGTTATATACACTATGCATAGCACATGCTTGGGTTCCACCTTGACATCTCTGATCTGCGTGCCTCAATAAATTAATGATAGAACATTGGTTGCCAGGATTAGCTATTTGTATCTAGTCTCTTAATAATTGTATAATGGTGCAAGTTAGACACATTCAATAGTCATAGTGAGAGGTGATGTAAGGCTGTACCCTGACTAGATTCCTCCAGAGACGTACAGGGCCTGTTGCATTTATTCACATAATAATGGAGTCAGATTGATAAATTTAGTTTATTATTATATTCAACATAATTTCTACATAATGGTTGGATAATTTCCACACCACTACAGATGTGTCTGTCGTGATCACCTTGCGAGACACAATTCAGCCCATGGAGCCCCCTGACAATAGCAGATGGCCCCACCACTGGGCCCTGGCCGGTAGGCCTGACAGGGACACCCGAAACGACTGGCTTAGGCTGCGAGATGCACCCAGTTGAGTAGCTAGCGCTGGAAGGGCCGTATCAACAACGACTTCCATCCCAGAAGCCCCAGTAGGAATAGGCTCTAGCGAAAACCCAGACGAAATCTGTCTGAGCAGAGCCGTAACCCGGACACCCTCCATAGGGATAGAAAAGCGTGATATGCAAGTACGTCTAGCTCGAAACCCAGAAACGAAATGCGCTGAGAGACAGACAGCTCTTCTTCAGGTTTCTTATTAAGCCTAGAGACTGAATACGGGACAGTAGCATGGATGTGTGTAACACTGCTTGCCCCCTCGAGTCCGCCACCACCAGCCAATCGCTGTAATAGGCGGTGGCTCGTGAGGATTCTGAGTTTGTAGACTCTTGAGGTGCTAGCTGAGGCCACGTAAGTCTAGAATGAGGAGGCAGGAATAGTTAGTAGTAGATAGCTCACCTCGGCAAGTTAGCCAACCTGGCTAGCACGCTATGCAGCGCTCGTTTAGCTAGCCCGGTCTCGAAAATCCACATAGGACCCGATCACAGAGGTGATCCTTCATCAACAAGTATGAGAAGAGAGGCAAGCGGTGCTTGACCGAGGCAGACAGAAGAGGCAGGGGGTACCCACCGAACATGGCCGCCGTCTCTCCTCGAGTAGCCTCCCGTAACTGGCGACAGAGTGCACAGGAGCTGGGTTGGCTTGGGCAGCCACCGCATACCCCATGCCCAGGAAGACAAGACATTTGCTTCGACCACCCAAAGTCGCCATTGGTAATCTCAAGCTTCCTCAAGAATGCTACACATCTTTCCAGGGAGTTTGTACACAATACGTGGCAATGCGCACATGGACTGATTCGAGCGAGGGCCGCCTGAGCGTGGTCCAAGCCGAGACAAACTACACATAGATTGTGAGTATCTTTCAGAGAAATGCTATAACCGCATGACTGGGGGCATAATCTCAACCCTGAACCCAGCTTAGCCATCGTCATCTCTGTCGTTTTCTTAGCCATCTTACTCATTGCACCAGCAAATTGAAGAATAACTAATTGTTTGTGATTAGAAAACTTATGAGAACAAGTACAACCTTCAGCACACAACATCCAGGGGGTGAGCACGCTCTACCACTATGGGACAGTTTAGTTGGTGCAATGTAAGACAGTCTCGTTTTCCAATTGTTTGTTTTAGTAGCGTGAATCGTTCCTGTTCACACTGAGGTGAAGAGCGGAATACAGTGGGGGAAAAAAGTATTTAGTCAGCCACCAATTGTGCAAGTTCTCCCACTTAAAAAGATGAGAGAGGCCTGTAATTTTCATCATAGGTACACGTCAACTATGACAGACAAATTGAGGAAAAAAAATCCTGAAAATCACATTGTAGGATTTTTAATGAATTTATTTGCAAATTATGGTGGAAAATAAGTATTTGGTCACCTACAAACAAGCAAGATTTCTGGCTCTCACAGACCTGTAACTTCTTCTTTAAGAGGCTCCTCTGTCCTCCACTCGTTACCTGTATTAATGGCACCTGTTTGAACTTGTTATCAGTATAAAAGACACCTGTCCACAACCTCAAACAGTCACACTCCAAACTCCACTATGGCCAAGACCAAAGAGCTGTCAAAGGACACCAGAAAGAAAATTGTAGACCTGCACCAGGCTGGGAAGACTGAATCTACAATAGGTAAGCAGCTTGGTTTGAATAAATCAACTGTGGGAGCAATTATTAGGAAATGGAAGACATACAAGACCACTGATAATC